CAAAGCTCAAATTAGAGACTGAATGAGAGCAGGAAACCAGAGAGGTGAGTGAGCCTGCAACTGGCTTTTGCCTGAAGACATTCAGCTAACGAGGTGAACCAGAGCCACGGATTCATGGCCCTTTGGGTCTGGGGACAGAAGGCAGATTCCAGGGGTTAGCTAAAATGAAGAGTCTAATAGTAGATCTCCTTCAATAAAGTTGAGCTACTCTCTCAAGTAGAAGAGCAAACTAAAACTAACCTTCCCACTAGCTTTTTGAAGTCCCAGGAAATAACTCTGGTACTGAGTTGAGGAGAAAAGAAAATCTTCTGCGAGTTTATAACCAGAATCAAACCCGCGTACATTGCAGTTGGAAATCACACTATCCGGAACTCATAAAAAATATCAAGCCGAGTGTTTAGTATTAGTCCATGACTTGTAGTGCCCCCTGCTGTCTGTGAGAAGCACAAATACAAATATTTTCTGGAGGGAACCCCCCTTTATCTCAGTCCACAGCACATTTTCCACAGATAAAGTTGCAAAGGAAATGAACAGCTAGCTCACAGCAAAGAAGAGCACTGCACACACAAGGGAACAAAATACTAGCAGAAGCAACTGATAACAATCAGACAGAGCTTATAAAATAAGTATGTGTAATGTTTCAATAAAGGAGAGGCTTGAAAACGAGTGTTTAGTGAAAGAAGAAAGTTACAGAAAAGCCCCTACAGAATGATTCCTTTGATATAAAGATCAAACATAGATAAAACCAGACCATATACTGTTTAGCAGTGTAATACACAAATGGTAAAAAGTAAAGAAAAGCAAAGGGCACACACAATACAGGATAGTGGTTACTTGGGGAATAAGAGGGCTGTGATCAGAAAGGGGCACACTAGAAACGTCTGAGGTGTGGTACTATTTTATTAACTCGGGGGGTAGGTACATCAGCATTTATTTGATTGTTTTAAAATTGTACATTTTATATATTATATGTAAAGTTCATAATTAAAAGGACAATTGTAGTAAAACATGTATAACATCTGTGTTTGTTTTTCTTAAACTTTGTTGATAATTCCCACTATCACAGAGATTTCAGATATCTGGCATAGCTGTGGTTTGAGGAACCTGCTCTCTACTGGTGTGATACATCAATTTTCTTCATGCTTCATAGCAAAAGCGTCAGTTTTAGGTTATTAATCTTCCCCTTTTTTTCTACTTTTCAGCAAGATGCGAAGATGAGGTGAATTTATGGATTCTGGTTTTTCTGAATTCTAAAACCATGACAAGTCAAAACAGATAAAACTGGATCAAGAAGAGGAAATGCATGATGAAAGTTTTTGGTTTTGTTTTTTTCATTTTCTGCCTTTTCATGGAGTGTTGATTTTTCCATTCTTAAGTTTAGATATATGTGCATAAAATAGCTATATTGTAATATTAATTTCATTACAAAATTTAAAATCATTTTGGTTATCCTATAACTTATCTTCCTGCTCATTTATGCGTCTTTCAACCTGATAGCCTTTAACTAAACAATAGCTGTTAACCTTTTAACCAAATAAAACGTATTATAAATACTTTTGCATTGGTTATCTTGGCTGTCTTCTTTTGTTTTATTTTTAAACCATTCAATATATGTGAATACCTTTAAGATTTTAAGTCTCCTACTGCCCTGGCCAGTTTTCTCTCACGCTTCATTCATCTACTGTCAGAATTATTTAGTCAGTGATCACATAGATGTCAGGTCTGTGTTGCTTCCACTATGTGTAATTTGATGACTTGGCTGAGAGGGTTAACCTTTCAGGCTTTTTTGAATTTGTTTTTTATGGCTTTATTTTAAAGATCACTTACTAAAGTAATAATAAAAAGTAATAAATCCTATTCATATCTGAAATCAATGAACAGAACTTACCATATTCAAATGCCTAGTCAAATTCTGTTCTGCCTAGATGGAAAAGTTGTCTTAGATGATATCTGACAAATAAACAGGAGGGCCCAGAAATCTGCATATTAGTAAACATTTCAGTTAATTTGGGGGCAGATTGTCCTAGGACGAAACTTTGAGAAAAACTGCTGTAGTGGTCCAGAATCCCACAGAATTTACTCAGTATCAACAATGTGGGTTGAATGGGGACCACGAGTTTGTTTTTGTTGTTGTTGTTGTTTTTTTTTTTTAGCTGAGCCATCCTGCCACCTGTTGGCAGCTCAGCAGCAGCTCAGCTCAGCTCAGGCCAGGCATCAAACCGCTGTTGCTCAGAGCTCAAACGCTTGAGCGAGCTCTTAACCAACTGAGCCATTCGGCCAGCCCCTTCCACGAGCTTGTTTTAAAGGAACAGCTGACATGGTGGTTAAGAGCTTGGCACCCTGTCAGCCTTTGTTACTTTTCCTGTCCTATTACTTGCAGCCTTTAGGACCTCCTAGAGTCATTCTCTGGGATTGTATTTTTGTTCCTATGCTTATTTCTAGTTTTTTGTTTATGAGATTTTTCTTTTCTCCCTTTTCTATGAAAATTATTTTCCATTTCATGTGGTCAGACTTATCAACCCTTTCTTTTGTTGCTGGTGGAATTTGGTCACAATAAGAAACAATTTTCCTGTTCCCAGATTATCAACACGTTTTGTTTAGGTTTTACATTTAAATTTCTGATTCATGTGGATTTTGTTCTCTTGTATGGTGTGAAATGAATGCAACCGATGCCCCATTGATTAAAAAGTCCATGTTTTCCACTTCTGATTTGAAATGCCACCTTTTTTTATGTTGTATTCCCATGTATACTTAAATTTATATCTTAATTTCCTGTCTAGTCTGTCTTTGTATGCTCATTGCCATCTTTTTACATTATAAGGATTGAAGGGAGTTTCAAAGTTTCCCTCATAGAGGTTTTACACATTTCATGATAAATTTATACCTAGGTATTTTGTCTTTTTTCTTGGTAATAGACCAGGAGTGCCAAAAAAATGTATACAAGTGGACTCTTTGGTCAACGTTGCTCAAGCAGTAGTTTGCCATAATCAGAAGTGTCTGGATGCTGATGGTAACCACTTGGAGCACCTCTTGTAATTGCAGAAGTCAAATGTGACTTGTATTCATCTTTTGTTATCGGTATATATTATTACAACTCTAATAGTTTTTTCCTATCTTGAAATGTGTGTACATTTTTTTGGTACCCTCTGTATATAGAATCTTTGATTCTCTTTTCTAATTGATTATTGTTTGCATATATGAAGATAATTGATTTCTGCATGGTAATCACTATGTTATTGTTTGTAGTGTTTTCCCGACATATCTCCTGGAAACCAAGCTATCATTACCTCTTGTTTGCCCCCCAATTCTTATGTCTCTCTTTGCTTTTTCTTGTCTAATTGCATGGCTGCTGCCTTAAGTAAAATATTAAATTGTAGGAACAGTAGATATCCTTGTCTTGTTCCTGATTTTCATGTGAATGCCTCTGGTTTTACCCCATTAAATAAGATGCTGGGTTTTGAGCTGGTGATGTACGAAGTCAGATAACTAAGTTTGCGAACACATCCTAGGAAAGTGCTACATACCTCATTGCTGAATATCACTACAGTCACCTTTGAAGTACTACCCTTGGGAAGCTATGCACTCACTAACTTGCCAGCCCACCCTTCAAAGCAATTTTGGAGCTCTTTTTCTGGAATGGCCATCAGAGCTGTCATCTATTACCCTTGATGTCCTGAATGTCATAAAAATGTCTCCCTTTCAATATGTATCTTCAGGTAAAGAAGTCATTGGGGGTCAGAGCAGGTGAGTAGGGAGGGTGTTTACTGGCTAAAAACTCCCTCACAGACAGTTCCGTGTGAGCTGGTGCATTGTCATGATGCAAGAGCCATGAATTGTTGGTGAAAAGTTCAGGACGTCTAAGTTTTTCACACAGCCTTTTTAGCACTTCCAAATAGTAAACTTGGTTAACTGTCTAGTTGGTGCAAATTCATAATGAATAATCCCTCTGATATCAAAAAAGGTTAGCAAAATCGTTGCAACAACTTCATGAACTTAATTGTCTGACTTTGTATATTTATAATTAAAGTATTTAATTAAAATTATTGAGTGCTTTTTTAAAAAATCATGAATGAGTGTTTAATTTTGTCAAGTGACTTTTGGTATTGATGGAGATTGTATTAGTTAGGGTCCAGCCACAGTTATTTTATAAATTGTTAGCCATATACTAGAGAACTGACAAGAACTGAAAAGGCAAAAGGGACCAGTGGAATATCATAGAGGAAGTAACTATGGGAAGCACTCACCACCTCTGAGGCTGAGGGAACAAAGAGAAAAGATGGAGTTGAAACTTAAAGACTTAAAAAGAAGACGGTCCAGGACCCTGTGAAGGGTGTGTGACTGGTTGTTGCTATTTCCATGAAGGGCTATGACAATATTGGTGTGATCATGTGTAAAGCTGGAGCCAGCTGTTGCTACTGAGATAATTGTTTCTGCCAGGGTGAACCATTTCTGTGGTGATGCTGACAGGAACAGGAAGCAAGCAAGAAGTTGGAAATTTCTCCTTCCTCCTGGAAGTCTGGAAAATAAATAGTTTGGTTCCGAGTTTTTAAAAAGTGTTATAGCACAGATTTCAAAAAATGTAAAGATAGACCTAAAACAGTGGTAACCTTAAGTTGTAGAATTACAGGTGATGTTTATTTTTATGCTTCTCATCATTTTCCAAGATGTTTTAAATCTCTGTGGATATTTACCGGATAAACTTTGTAGTTCTTTAGTGGATAAACTGAATAGTGATAAACCTTAAAGTTTATCTCCATTTCAAGGTAGCTGTTGATTTTAAAAATAAATGAATAATTATGTCCAAAACTGTGAGATAAAGCTGTAAACCACTCGTTGTCCTCAAGCTCCTTGCCTGCAAAGTTGGGGGAAATGTGATTGTATATTAACTATGAAGGTTAGAGGACTGCGGCAGGCGTGATGGGAAGAGAAGTACAAAACAAACAAGATTCCTGGACTTGGAATCTGTATAGCTGGGAAGCCACTTAAAATTTTGTGTAATACTACAAGACGACCAAAGAGGTCGTCAGAGGACCTGCTGGATCTGCGAAGAGGCTGGAGAAGTGGCAGGGACGCTAAGCACCAAACGCTAGGTAGGAGGTGGAGGGGGTCTCCGCCAATTATTTGAGTCCAGAATCCGCGACCCAGTGACGTCCTAACATCCCGGGGAAGAGTTCGGGGAAGGCGCTAGCTGAACTTTGGATCTTAATCGGGACTTCCTCCATCTGGCTTAGGGGAACTTGACACAGCAGTCTGGTGTCACTTGCCCGGTCAGCGTCGCTCGGTCCCGCGTGCTAACAACTCCTCCTCAGAGCCCTCGGACCCCAAGTCGCCGCCGTGGGACCCACGGCTCGCCATCATGGACAGGGCGACGGAGCTGCTTTTCTACGTGAACGGCCGCAAGGTAAGCGGGTCCGCCGGCGGACCAGGCGCCCGGCCCTGCGAGGAGCTGCAAATAGGGGCTCCTTCCGGGTCGTCCTCATACTTAGAGCACTAATGCACACACCAGCGCTTCTGGTTTGCAAGCGGGTTTGCTTGTGCGCCCCCCTCGTCCCCCACCGTCCCCCCGGGGCTGGGAAAGCGTAAGTGTTCGGGGACTGCCCGGGATCTTTGTGCCCCCACCTTCGTGATGTTCCTCTCCTCTCTCCGCCAGAGCGCGCGCAGGCTAATTACCAACCTACCCACCCCCACCCCGTAAACAAGAGAAACAGCTGTTCTTACTCATCGAAGTCAGCACTCCCAAATCTTCCCTCCCTCAAAATCCCCGAAAAGGAGAATGCCTTTCGATAGACCGAGTGCAATGGATAGACCTCTGAGCCTCAGCTCTCGGGGTGTGTTTGGATGATCAAGGAGCTATTTAGAGTTGGGATGGGGCCATAGAGTTGAACTAATTCAGACCACTCCCATCATTTCTGAGATAGCGAAACCTTAACTTTCCAAAGCCACAGCTAGTTCCTGGCAGAGCTGAGCCAATGCTGGGCTCTGGGGAGTGGAAGGTCCTCACTGGGCCCATTGCCAGTGCGGCATCCTTTCTTCTCAGAAGCCCAGCTCGCTCTGCAGTACCTCTGGGATGGATCCAGGCAATGCTCACGTTTGGGGGAAGCAAAGCCCTGGGCATTTTTAAAACACCTTGATCTACACACACACACACACACACACACACACACACACACACACACACACACACACAACCGTAGACTGCTCACTCCCAGCATATTGGCACCACTTTGCAAGATGGAAATTGAGGCAGGAAGGTTAAGGGGCTTCCTTAAGAGCTGACAACCTAGTAAGGGCCATGCTATCTGTCTTTCCACGGTGCCAGGGCCTTCAGAGCCACCTGTGACCGCTACTTTTGGGTCACAGAAGTCAGCACTTTCCCCAACTGGCACGGGGGACTCACCAGGAAGCTAAGGCGGATCAAGCATCCGGCCTCCCACTGTGAGACATGTTCTAAGGCCCTGAGCTTAATTTTGCATTTATGGTTTTGTATCATTTTTCCTAAAGAGAACCCCACCCCTGCCAACTGTACAAGTTCTAGGCTCCATAAAACCTTCCTCTGCCCCTGCTTCCTGGTTTTCAAACTGGATGCGTTTCATTTTCCTGATCTGTAATGGGGCTATTAGGATCCCCTGACAGGACTGCTGTGAGAATGACATACAGCAGTGGGGGGCAAAATGTTAACATTATGTCACTTTTTCATTGTTTGCATAACTGAATGGTACAATAAACGCAACCCTGGCCTTTTTATTTAGACCAACAAGGATTCAATTCCTGCTCTAACCCTTCTTGAGACACCCTAACCTCTCAGAGTTTCAGCTCCTCTGTTGAAAGGGGGTAATACTAATTACTTCACAAAGACTGATAAGGAGTATTTAGTCAGCATTTTTGTTAAGGGTCTGCTCAATGCCAGGCAATGCTCCCAGCTCAAGGATTTACAGCAGAGCACAGAAATGACAAAGTCCCTGCTTGTGAGTAGCTCACAGTGGGCCGGGAGACAGTCAGCAAGCGTACAAATCCATGGAAATGTGTAATGTCAGGCAGTGATACGGGCTAGGATAAAAAAAAAATGCAAAGTGAGGGGACAGACAGTGGGCAGGAGCTGATACTTTAGGTGGGAGGGATGTGGTGGCCTCTCTGAGAGAGTGATGTTTGAGCAGTAACTGGTATGATGGAAGGAGCAGCCCTCCATCTCACGGGGACAGAATCCTCACTGATTTTCAGAGCCAGCAATTATGGGGATTCCTCTGCTCAGCACTGGAGACCTGGGCTCAGGAGCCTGGCGTGGAGCTGGGACCCCTTGCTCCTCAGGAGGGACCTCTGCTGCTGAGGTATCCCTCCCAGTTCTCAACCACCACACGTGAGTGTGGGACCATTCCATTTTATATCCACCCTTCTTAGCAGTCTCAACATGGCTTCTTTTGTATATCCATAGTTACAGAGGTTGCATTCAGCTAGTCTTCAGATGGTTCACCAGGTTGATTGTTCTATAATTTAGTTGTAATTTTGATGTGGTCATAAAAAGAGGTGAGCACAGCATTTACCTACTCGGTCGTCTTGACCGGACCTCTCTGGGGGAAGAGCATTTTAGATGGAATGGAGGTACTCCATGAGGATTTTTATATGCTCAGAGGTTGGCAAGGAGATTGGAGGTTGGTGGGGCTGGAGATGTAGCCAGGGTGAGATTACTGAATCGTTGCAGGCAATGGTAGGGGTTTGGTTAAATGAGGAAACAGGTCTTTGAGTCTAGCTTCTTTTCCACCACCCCCACTCACAAACAAACTTCAGTGGGATTTTTAACACAATGGTTAACAACAATTTGTCATCCTTTCCCTTTCCTTCCCCCTCTTCCAAATTCTGTTAGGTATGTGCTTCAGTCCTGGCAAGCAAGCCTCATTGCCATATGCATAGAATTAGAATAAAGCTTCTGGTTCAGAGGTTAGAGTCTGTTGAAAAAAGTGAGAGAGAGAAACCACCAGAGAAGAGGGGTCTTGAAGTCAAACATAACCTCAGGAATTAAAAGCTTGCATTGGAAAGGAAGCTTAGAAGCCAGTTAGGATACTCTAGGTGATGTGATTGGCTTGTGGTCTGTGCTTTTTGTGAAATCCCCTCAAGTCTTCAAGAAGTGTGACTGGGCAAGGTCTGAAGCCATCCAGAGGGGAGACCAATGCCCACTGGTCAGATATCTGGTTGCAAAGATATTTCTGAAGCCTGACTTGCTTCATCAGGGGCCCCCAGAACAGGTGACCCAGTTAACATGGAGTTTGAGGGGGAGTGAAGAAAGCTGATGAATAAATTATACCCTAGATGCCACTGTCTAATACAACTCAGGAACTGAAGCACATCGATCTGCGAGGCAGTGAGGTGTAGAGATCAAACGAGTGGGCTTTGGAACTAGTTAGACATGGGTTTGAATCCCACGCTATCTGCTCTGCCGCTCAGCAGCTCTTGGACCGTGGGCAAGCTGCTTAATATCTCAGAGTCACAATTTTCCCCTCTGCAAAATGGGGCTGATAACAGTACATTCTCCCATGGAATAGAAGATTAAATTCCATGGAGAGTGGTGAGCAAGGTGCTTGGCACATAGTAAACAATTAAAACCAATTTTTTTTTTTTAGCTGAGCCATTCTGCCACCTGTTGGAAGCTCAGCAGCTGCTCAGCTCGGGCCAGGACTCAAACCACTGTTGCTCAGGGCTCAAACTCTTGAGCGAGCTCTTAACCAACTGAGCCACTCGGCCGGCCCCATTAAAACCAATTTTAAAGCAATCCGAAGCTCAGGCAGAAGTAGCCTCATGGCTGTCTGCTTGGGCTTCCCTCTCTCTTCTCAGGCTGCCGTGGGTTATTGTTCTTCTCTACTAACCATGTCCCACAATACACACCTCTTCCTTCTTCTGCCTCTCAGCCATTTCGTTTCACACGTACCCCTCTCCCATCTTTATTTCCATTTTTCCCCCCTTTTCCTCTTCTCCTAATCTCCTTTCTCTTTCTTCTTTCTGCCCCTGTCTTGGATATGGCTAGGCCCCCCTCATGTCCTGGTCGCCAGCCCTGCACAGAGGAAAGTAATTTCTCAACCTTGTGGAATGTGAACTTGAAATCTCCTAGTGGGCTGGCACAGCGGACCCTGCCCTTGCAACACCCAAGCCTTTAACGGGAATATACAATGACCCTGATCTGAGAACTAGCATCAGCTCTCCAAACCAGAGATAGTGAGAATAACCCTGCTCCTCACCCCCTCTCCACCCCCACTATCTGAGTCATGACCTCAGCCACTATCATGACCTCCCTGTTTCACTCCAAGACCCACCAGGACAGGCTGCGCTCTCTATCCCGCTCCCACTTCCCTCCTCCAAGTATGCCATCGACCAAATCAAGAAAAATAAACATGTTCCAAGCCAGTAGCACTCTGAGCCAGACTCCAATCTCTTACAACATCTCCTGGAACAAAGAAGGCCTGCTGCTTCCATTTTCCCTTCCAAAAATAAACAAGTATCTCTGAAATCTAAGATGCTATTCTTTGCTTTCTAGGCTGCCCAGATCCTGTTGTTCCATTAAAACTGAGCTTCTGTGGATTTAGCATTATCTGTATTAAGATTCATTCCAGCTACACATGGCACAAGCTCAAACTTAACAGTGATTTCAAACAAAATACATGCCATTTTTACTTTTAACTAAAGAATATCTGGGGATGGACCTTGCGGGGCTGGTCCGGAAGCTTTACAGTGTCATCTAGGACCCAGCTTTCTTCTTTCTTAAGGCAACATTAATGTGTTGCCTTATGGTGTAAAGTGGCTATTGGAATTCTAGCCATTTCATCCCTATTTCAGGCAGCAGGAAGGAAGAAAGGGAGAATGCATGCTGGGATAGACAACCAATAGTTCCTGCCACCATGATTGGCACAGCCTGTGAGAAATCATCCCTTTCTCTTTAGCAAGTTCTCATAGGAAATTGCACATATCATGTTCAAGTTATTCATTTAAATTAATTAACATTTATTATGCCCCTGTGATAGATCACCAGCACCTAGCTCAGTGTTTGATGCAAAGAAGAATAGGAGAAGGTGGTTTCATCCAGAGATTAAGAGAAGCTTATACATACACAAATAATTATGATGCAGGGTAAGACATTTTGTGAGAGATATTGGCCATGGGGTCACAAAGGATGACTACTTGGAGCAGAGTGGGAAGGGTATATTAGATGGCAGCACCCCCCAACAGGGGAGAATAGTTGAGCAGGGCTTTGAATGACATACAAAATTCTGTCAAATTAGAAGAAAAAGAGGACCTTTCAGGACAGAAGGAATCCTATATGTAAATGTAGCGGAAGATAAAGGTCCATGCACTGCTGTGATTGGCCAGTTCTCCAATGTGACTAGAGTTCAAGATACATGGGTTGAGTGGCAGGAGTTGAAGGGGAATTTATCAAAGAGGCTTTGTAGGCTATGCCAAGGAGTTTGAACTTCTTGTATTCTAGGAACACTTGAATATAAATGTACTTAAGACCCACTCAGTGTGCTCATTAACGATGCATATTTTCTGGTTTCCTGTCCCAGAAATTCTGATTCCATAGGGTTTCGCTTTAACAAGTACCCTGAGTGGTTCAGGAATTCCCAGCATGGTAGTTTGGCAGCCAGAAGCCCTTGTTGAATTCAGGCAGATACAGGAGATGATCAGACTTAGATTTTAGAGAGGTAGCTCTGGTAGTAGTATAGAGGGTAAGTGGCTTGCGGGTGCCAAGAATGGAGGCAGGAGACCTGTTAGGCAGCTGTTATAACTTTTCAAGCAAAAGATAATAAGGATTGATTTTGGAGAGTGACAGTAGAAATGAAGGGTGTTTAGAGAATCATTTTGGACATGTAAGTGGCAGGACTTGGTGAAGCTGATTATGACAGGTTGAAAGAAAGAAAAAGTTGAAAATAGCACAGCTTTTTAATCTTAGATGACCTAGCAGATGGCGAGGCTATTAAACAAGTTAGGGGAAAGAAAGGAAGAAGTGTTTGGGAAGTAAAATGAAGAATTCCACAGTTCTCCTTGTATTTCGGTATGTGTATACACACACACACACACACACACACACACACACACACACCACTCACATCTTTCTTACTATACTACAGACTCCTTTAGGGCACAGAGCGGACCTTAAGGCACTGCTTAGGTAATTGACACATGCCTCGCTTTGCCCAGCATATGGCCAGTTAGAATTGAGGGCGAGGAGGCAGCCATAGAATAAGCATACATCATCTCCCACCCCCAATCTACTTCCCAGAATGTGAAAGAGGAACTCTCCTGCAATTGTGAAGCAAACCAGGCTTTTATTTATGAATCTAAAAAAATCCAAATTTTTAATAAAAGAAGAGAAAAGTTGATCACTTTGGAAAACAACCAATTATGACATTTCAATCATGCTATCTCTTGTGTGCTCTGTTCCACTATGCTGCCCACACAAACTTGCCTCTTAGGGGTGTCCTTGCTTACACATCCTTGTATCACTTGGCATATATGTTTCATCTTCTTCTTTGTTTCTTTGATTTGGGGGCCATGGTTGGTTGTGATGTCTTTCTGGAAGCTGTAATTCTTTGAAGATGATAAACAAATGAGTCTTAAAAAAATGCAACTATATCAATTTCTCAGAGGCTATTCTATTCCAGCAGCTAGCTCGTGCTCTCTCTCCCCCTTTCCCCCTCTCTCCCTCTCTCCCTCTCTCCCTCTCTCCCTCTCTNCCTCTCTCCCTCTCTCTCTCTTTCCCTTTCCCCCTTTCTCTCTCCCCACCCCCACCCCCGCCATTCTGTTCTACTTACTATCTTTTCCTTCACCTGCTTCAGACTTTCTACAAGAAGCTGGACAGGAGTCACTGGTGTTCCTACTGGGAGAAACAACCACTGCCTTAGACAACAGTCAACAGTGATGATTCAGGACCAAGGACAGTAACAAAGTGATGGGGCTCAAGATTTAAACTACACTTAAAAGGGGTGATTTGTGTATCACAGATGTTCCTTAAACATTAAATCAAGTTGCAAATATGAGTAGAATAGTTAAGTAATGTGTATTTCCATCAAGTTAACATAAGCCAGCCAATGTGAAAATGACACTAGCTCTCAGATTTGTGTGCATAACTCTTATTTTTCCTTCTGGTACAGGTGACAGATAAAAATGTCGATCCTGAAACAATGCTGTTACCATATCTGAGGAAGAAGCGTATCCTTTTCTTTGCTGTGTGTGTGTGTGTGTGGGGGGGTGTCTGATATCCTTATCAAGTGATAGAGCCATACTGAGTCATATTACCTACTATTATGGTTTTATGTTCTTCTTTGAGAAAGTCCTACATTTTAGTTTTGTAGGCAGTGCACAGTTGTGGCTTTCAGAAGAACCAAGTTCTTTCTAGTCTCTGTTTTGGCACTTGATATATTGTGTAAATGGAGAAACTAGCAATGGGAATGAAAACAATGGATGTTAAAAGGGCTTAATTAAGCACTCTTTAGAATTAAGAGTTACAATATTGACATTCTATATTCGAGGACTAATCATCATGCTCATTAAAAAAAGAGAATACAGACATCTGAAATGAAAGTAAAAGAATAATGGAGAAATTTAATGTGAGAATGTTACGTTAGAAAAACTATCTAAATCAAAATCATCTAAGGAATGAATTCTTAGCCTGCTATGCATGAACTCCAGTGGGCGTCCAGAGTTCTATAGACCCACTAAATGATATGCAAAATTATATGACCGTGGGAGTTTGTACACTTTTTTCCCCTAAAGAGAGTAAAATTCCAAAAAAGTACACAGCTCAAAAAATATCAATAACTATCTTCTGGAAGTCATTCAAGATCTTTGGACATAAAAACAATGCACACTGGTTTCCTGGTTATCAATAGCACCAATGTGTAATATTTAAGATTTGGTTCACTTGCGAGTGACAGAAAATCCCAAATAGCAGTAAACAGCATGCAGCTTTTTCCTCAAGTTCAGAGACAACTAACTGAGGTCCAGCCATCATTCTATCTGAATTCCAGAAAATCGGAAGAAGTAAGGGATGAAGAAAGAGGCACTCTTCTCATTTTGAGGACATTTCCCTCTTGAAAGTCATACATACACAGCACTTTTGCTTACATCCCATTGGCTAGCATTGTTAATGACCCCATCTGGCTGCAGAGGAGCCTTGTAAAATGTATTTTTAATTCTGGTCAATCATGTTTGTAGCTAAAAATTGCGGTTTCTATCACCAAAGAAGAATGAGAGAAAAGATATTGGGTGAAAACTAGCAGTTTCTGCCACCAAGAAGCAGAGAAGCATGGCCTAAGTAGACAGTATGGCAAAAATATTCTAAGAATTATTTACGATTTGACATTTTACTTTGTGTGTCATCAAAGACACAGATAAGGTTGAGAACAAATGTACAATGGACTCATACTTTCAAATACTCAAGACTCTTCCTTTTCTTAGTTTGGCCCAATTTTTGGCAACCTGGGGTCCAGTTGTTTTTAAACAGAGGAGACTAAATATAACATTACAAATGGAAATCAAGAATTTACAAGATTCTAAATAATAGCAGCTAAGACATACATACATTATTCGATATGTATTGAACTTACGTCTATATTTAAGAGTCTTTGATATGTTGTTTGTTAAGATCAGCGCTATTCTGGAAAGCGAATTATGGAAAATACATTCTCCTTAACTGTGCTCCTTCCAGTCCGACTCACAGGAACTAAGTATGGCTGTGGAGGGGGAGGCTGTGGTGCCTGCACAGTGATGATATCACGATATAACCCCATTACCAAGACGACCAGGTACTGTGCAGCAAAATCCAGATATGATTGAATTTTTGTAGTTTTGAACTTTGTTTTATTTCTTTATTTGCTAACTATGCATTGAGCGCCTACTATGTGACTGGAACTGTGCTAGGTACTGGGGATACAAAGATGAACAAGACGGACATGATCCCAGGAATCCGACTGGATTAGAAAACAACGCACCATCAGTTAGGACAGCATATCGTCAGAGATTCCCCTGCTGAAGTTGAAAGGCTGACTCCCTGTGCTGACAGGGGGAGGAAAGGAAAGGCTGAAAGGCAGTGAAGGATGATGCTGTCACCACGCTTTTATATCACTATTACAGCCTGCTAACTGATCTCCTTGCTCCCACCCTTGCCCCTTATAGTGCATCCTCCATACATCAGTCAGAGAGACCTGAGATCTGTTTCAAGTATAAATCAGATCACAGCACTCTCCTACTTAAAAAAATCACCAATGCCTTCCCATTACATGTAATGCCTCTTTCATGTTTGATATTTACCTTTCTTAGGTTTGCCAAGTTTCTTGATCTGTGGGTTTATATCTTCTCTCAGCTTTGGAAACTTCTCAAGCCATTACCTCTTCAAATATTTATATTCATTCTCTCTCTCTCTCTCTCTCTCTCTCTCTCTCTCTCTCTCTCTCTCTCTCTCTCTCTCTCTCTCTCCTCCACCCTTTTCTGGGACTCCGATTATGCATATGTTAGACAATTTTACATCATTCCACAGGTCTCAGAGGAGGACAAAGGATCAGAGATCTGGTGAGATTTCAGAGATCTGCTTGTGTTCCGCAGCCAAGCCACCTGCCTCCTGAGCTCTGTGACATACCTCCCTGCTTTACAGCCTGGCGGCCTTTTTTTTTTTTTTTTTTTTTGTCACTGGGGAGTTCTCTTTGCTCTCTTGCCTCACTTTCTATGCTTTGGGAGATCTCTTGCAGCCATGCCACCGGCCTGTAGCCTCTGGAGGGTGGCGACTGCCCTGCGCTCTATGAAGCCCGAGCACCTGTGGTTTTCTCTTCGTTCTCCTGCTCTCTCCCAGCCGCCCTTGTCTAAAGGCCAATGTGCCTGGAAGGCTTCTTTCAGCCCCTATTTTCAGCCTCCCTGCCCCTATATGTAGGACATTACCCTCAGCACTCAGTGAAGTCTAGTGGAGGAGAGTTTGGGCATAGTGAACCCAGCTTTGTATTTTAATTTGTTATATCACCCCACATGTAGCTAGTAAACATTTCTGGAAAGTTAGTCTGGTTTCTCCATACTCCTGTCTAACTAAGGCAGATTGCGTCTCCTCTGTCCTTTCCAGTTAGAGATGCGAACAGTTTTATTTCTTCTCTCTTATGAAGGGCTTGTGCTTGATGGAGTTTAGTTCATTTACGTTTCTTTATATACTCAGTATCTCATGTTTTTTCTTACTATGACTGTGAAGCTTATATGGCTTGTTTTGGTTTTTAGAATGAGAATAAAGGCCTCTTACAACTTTCTACATCTGAACTGAAGGATCTATTGCCTTTGGATCAATATTCAGACGCCTGCCCTTTACCGTCACCTACCTTGTTCCTGCTTGTCTCTCAGCCTGGAATCCAATCACTCCCCCTGTATTCACTCCGCTCCAGCCTCACTGGCTTCCTTCCTCTCCCTCTTTCTGCCCCTAAACATCCCAAACTCATTCCTGCCTCAGGGCCTGTGCGTGTGTTGTCCCTCTGCCTGGAATGTTTTCTCCTATAAGCTTTCACAGGATTCAGCAAAAATGTTGCATTCTCATCCCTCCCTGGTCACCCGCACCTCTGCAATTCCCTATTCCTTTAGCCAATATTAATTTATTCACAGCGTTTTTCACTATCTCAGCTTATGCACATAAGTATGTATTGTCTATGTACTTAAGTACTGTCTACCTTCCTTCCACTAGAATATACACTCAACAAGGGAAGGAATTTTATCCAATGAATCCTAGCATCTGGGACTCTGTCTGCCACATGTAGACATGCAATAACTATTTGCATTTATTATTTGTAAGTGACTACTATCCTGTTGATCTTTCTTTTGTGTGTGGACATACGTAAGCATACTGCATAACTGTTTAGAAACCTGTATATCTTGCTTAACTTCTCATGAATATTTTTTCAAAATAATAAATATAATTTTAATGGTTGTGTATGTTCCATTGTTTAGGTGTACCAAAACCAATCCCCAAATAGTGATCACTTAGATTATTCTTAGTTGTTCATTATCAGAAGCAGTGTGGCAGTGATATGTGTGTGTGTGTGTGTGTGAGAGAGAGAGAGAGAGAGAGAGAGAGAGAGAGGTGTGTGTGTGTGTGTGTGTGTGTGTGTGTGTGTGTGTGTGTGTGTGTGACTATTTATGATACATCCATAGAGGTGGAATTGCAGGGTACATAAAACAGTGTATGTGTCTTAAAGATTTTTATGCCTTCCAGCAAAATGTCTCCCAGAAGAGCTCTGTCAATTTACATTCTTATCCAACAATACATGAGTTTCATTTTCCCAAAGCTTTGCTATTATAATAATGCATATTACAACGTTTAAAAATCTTTGTTCTTTCCTTTTATAAAAATGGTGTTTCTCATTGCTTAATTTGAATTAGTCTTCATTATTTCGAGGTTGAACATTTGTTTCTTGTACTTATTGGCCATTTGTAGTTCTGTTTGGTGAATGAGAACATTTTAGGATTATTTTGAGTTGGACATTTTATGGCAGTAGGTTTGTGGGATTGAGGAGTTCTGTATCCCACATCCTATTTCTTCTTCTGAAGCACAATTTCAAGTTCACTTTATTCCCCAATGAACCCCTGGCTCAGCACCTGCCTGGAAGATAGAATATGCTCTAGGTGATTAATCACAGGTGACGAGAGAGGAGAACGTCAGCCCCTCATCCAAGAGAAAACACAAACTTAGTGGAAACTGTTCTGGAGTTAGAATTTAGAGGTCTAATTTGAATCCTGTCACTGACATTCCATCTCTGACCCTGAGCACATTGCTCTAACCTTCAGATTCCACTTATATTAAATGGGTATGAGCTAAGGACAAAAATGTATATTCAAAGCCTGACACAGTATACAAAACCTGCCATATTGAAGGTACTCAGTGAATGCTCCGTCCTCTTTCCCACTGGATACAACGTAATTTTGCTTCTCGTTTGCATACTGAAGACATTATCCAGCCAACGCCTGTCTGATCCCTGTCTGCTCTCTGTATGGTGCTGCCGTCACAACAGTAGAAGGCATAGGAAGCACCAAGACCAGGATTCATCCTGTTCAGGTGAGAGTGGGCCTCTTCTTCATGGGATTTCTCTTCTTTGAAAACCATGAATGACATGTTGAGCCCCTGAGAGCCATACAGTAGAGCAGTCTGGTCCCTGCTGCTTCGTCAGCCAACAGATGAAACCAAGTGGGGGACCAGGAGTGAAACCTGGGCCATGTGGGTGTTTTGTAACTGACTTCTTGGTAAGATGCTTTCCGAACACTAGAGAACTTTCCCTTTTTAAAGAAAATCCTGACATCACTGGGTTGGTTTTCTGTATTCTAATTAGATGGGATCTTCCATCTTACATCTTCCAAACTTATAAAGAAATGAGAGCCATGTGCATTGAGGGAGAAAATTTTGTTGTTTTTTTTAAATAAAGTGGAAAATAACACAATTTTAAAGCTGATTGAAAATCTCAGCTACCAAAAATATTTGTTAAATTTAGGATTTGTTCAGAAGACAGATAATAGGAGTTGTCAATTAATTTTGAGGCTTTTCTCTTAAGGCAGCATCTTGTTAGAACTTTCCCTCAAGCAAAGGGCACCTCTGACTCCTGTCCTTCAATTATCTGTACATTGTCCATAGAAATGCTGTTGCTACTTGTTTTTATCTAAGTTGATGAGGGCCAACTAATTTATGAAGAGGGAAAAGATAGGGATGACATAGAAAATGGCCAAACTTCAAATTCCCTGTTAAAGGAATCTTGGGTTCTGTTTATTTTCTGTGAAACCTCATTACCTATAGAAGGAGTGAATTCTGCTTGATACCTTTGTGAAACTTGGCTATTCAGAGGCATTTCATTTAGTAACCACTGCTAAGCTTCTGGTTCCAATGTAGCCAGACAGCTTCCAAAACGGGGTTACGCTTTTGAAGTTAGACTCCAAAGAGAACATGTTTAGGGGGAGTGGGGGGGGGAGGGGAGAAGGTTCCGAAGAGAAATAAAGGCAATGTTTCCTTCTTCATTGTTTTCTGAATTAATGATGGCGCTTTGTAAACAAACTTCTAGGGGCTAAAGCTTTAAGGCTGCAGTGGGGAGGTAAAGGCCTTCGGGGAAATACTTGGAGCTTTTTTTATTATTATTTTATTATCATCATTATTATTATTATTATTATTAGTTTCAAGTGTACAAAACAATGCACTAGTTATCCTTTTCACCCCTCACAAAGTGACAACCCCCCTCCCCCATCCACTGCCCTCCCACCCCCGATATCATGCTTATCTATTACAATTCCATTGACTCCATTCCCACTCTCTACTCCATGACATAACTATCTGTATATATAATTGTAGTTGACATACAATGTTATTCAACATCAGCTTCAAATATATAGTGTGGTGGTCAGGCCTGTACACCGTCTATGAAGTGATCTCCCTAACAAGACATGAGTCCATCTGGCCCCCTAAAAAATATTTACAACATTATTGATTATATTCCCCATACTGTCTTTTCTATCCCTGAGGCCATATTGTAGTTACCAATTTGTATTGTCTCGTCCCTTCCCCTTCTCCCTCATCCCCACCCCCTCCCAACTTGGAGATTTTTTTGTTTTTGTTCTTTTTCTCACCTTGAAGGTAATCCAGTCATTTCTCTGTAGGATTTCCAGGGACCAACCTTTATCTCAATGATTCCCATTTGGGACTACAAATTGAAACTACCTGGGAATCTTTAAAATACATAAGTCTGCACCCAACCCCCAGAGAGTCTCAGTCAATTGATCTTGGGTGCTACTTGAGCCTTGGGAATTTTATCGCTCCCCTGGGGATTCTGAAGGCTGAGAACTTTCAATGAAGTTCAAAATCTGGTGAGGATCAGTAATCACAGCCAGCCAGCCCAAGAAAGGGAGAAGCCTAGTATGAGAAGGATTTTTCTGGGGCCTCTTCTCCAACTTTAATGTGCATATGAATTGTCTGGGGATCTTGTTAAAATGCAGATTCTGATTCCATAGGTCTGGATTGGGGCCCAAGATTCTGCATTTCTTACCTTTCTGTGCTTCTAGGAAAGGATCGCCAAGTTTCACGGCACACAGTGTGGCTTCTGCAGCCCAGGGATGGTGATGTCCATCTACACGCTGCTCAGGAACCATCCAGAACCCTCTCTGGATCAGTTAACTGATGCCCTTGGTGGTAAGTTATATAATATGTGTGAGTGCTTTTATTTTTTGATGATGATGATGATGATGACAATGATGACGACGACAACAAGCACTAATATTGGACACCCACCATGTGCCACACACTGGATGAAATGCTATATAAAGATTATCTCATTGATTCTTTGCAATAGCTTTATATATCAACCGAATAGCCCAAGTTGCTGATGAAAGACATATAACTTTGTAGGTTTTAGATGGACTGACATGTTCAAATAGGGCTTCCTTCTAGGATGAGGTCCTCATTTCCATCATGCATTTGGCAGCCTGTGCCTCTCTCTAGGTTTCCTGATTAACAGAGCTGGATTTTTCTCCTTTAGGTAACCTGTGCCGTTGCACTGGATACAGGCCCATAATTGATGCATGCAAGACTTTCTGTAAAGTGAGTAGAAAAAAACATAATATTGAGTATATTTTTTCCCCAATGAAACAAAACAGTAGGGGTTGTCAGATGTGATTAGAGGAATAGCTGTTGTTACTGATACAGGGCTATTTTTTATCTCAAGGTCTGTAATTGTTGTTTGTTATGTGATCTTGGGCAGGGTGCTTATCTTCATTCTCTGAGCTTGCCCTGGTAGTGACATAATGAACACGAAGCACTTTGATATTGGCTGTGGGTTCCCAGGGGTCTGTCCTGACGTGTTTGTCTGAGCCAGGTACCCTGCCCTGGTGCTCCTGCAGCCTTCTGTGCGTGCCCCCTTCACGGCGTTGGTCACACTATGGTGTCACTGCCCATTTGCTCTTCTGTCTGTTCACCAGACTGCAATCTGCTTGACAGAAGGGGCTGTGTATCTTCAGGGCTGGTCACCACTCACTGATTGAGTGGGTACCACTCAATCAATATTTGTTGAATGAATAGATTGACAAACAACCTTGAATTGAGGGACATAAGATTTTCCTTTGGAAGTTAAACTGTAAAATCAGTACATCATAAATAAGAATAGTGATGATAATAATACTTGTTAGCATTTATTGTTAATAAAATATTAATATTAACCATAAACCATTGTTAATATTTATTGTTATGTGCCAGACTTTGTTATAAAACTTTTACATTATGGTGACAATAGTTAATAATGCTGTATTGTGTGCTTGAAATTTGTTAAGAGAATAGACCTTAAGTGTTCTTACCACACACATATACAACGGTAACTGTGTGAGGTGATGAATGTATTAATGAACCTGATTGTGGTAATCATTTAACAAAGTATCATATGTGAAATCATCACGTTGTGCATTTCAAATATATACAATTTTATTTATCAATTACACCTCAATAAAGCTATAAAATTCTTAGTAGAATCAACAATAAATTCCTGATTATTTGGGTTTTTTTCACCCACTAGACTTCTGGCTGCTGTCAAAGTAAAGAAAACGGAGTTTGCTGTTTGAATCAAGGGATAAATGGATTTCCAGAATGTGAGGAAGGAGATGAGGTTAGTGAAACGTAAATTTTTTTATAAGAGTTTCTCAGATATGAGCAGAGACAAACTGACTTTTAGGAGGAATGAACGGCTGCCCACATTGATTAACTTGAGGTGTGTCAACATGTCCCCTGTCTCATTCTCATTCCATCTCTGTTAAAAAAAAAAATCTAACAACTTCATCTCTCATTCCAGATATTACTCTTGTTCAAGTACAGCTATCTATAGGGGACAAAACACATTGGTATCTGAGTGTCTCTTAGTTTAAAAAACAAAAACAAAAAAACAGAAAAACAACAAAAAAAACTTTTTTCAGGTCTTTTTCCGAGGGCCAGAAGCAAAGTGGAGATTATTAAAAGATGGAAGAACAGGTAGTGACAAGGAGAGGTGGCAATTCTGGAGAATGTTTTTGTTCTCAGCTGTGTCTGGTGCTGCTGCCTGCCTCTTCTGCTTTCCCCAGACTCCAAAGAAAATGTTCAGGATGTGCAGAGCTTTGGAGGCTCTGCTCTGATTGCTAGGGACCAGGTCTGTGTTAGAGCCCAGGACTTAGAACCCAGGGATTGTGGCTGGGCAGCTGCTTTTGTTGTCTGTCTGCTATGTCTCTCTTCTTCTAACCTTATTCCACAAAGAATTTAAAGTACTATAGTTAAAGTTGCCTAGTGACAGTAACTTCTGGTACATTCCATTTTCAAGACGAACCTAAAACTCTTCTCAGAAGAGGAGTTTCTGCCATTGGATCCAACTCAAGAATTGATATTTCCTCCTGAACTAATGGTAAGTAAGACACAGGTGAGCTCGTCCTAGGGGACTTCATGGTGACATGGCAGGAAGGGTATTTGTTTATGGATCCTCTCAAAAGCTGATTGGCAAATAGGCCATCTGCCATCCTTAGCCCAAGGCCTAAAGAATATAGAACTGAAGCAGAGGTGAGGGAATGAGGATAGAGTCACCACAAGGATATAGTTGAATGTAGTAAGTAGCAGTGAGTACCTATAAAAAATGTTATGAAGTGACATCATAACATTTGTAGATTTAGACATGTTTTCTACTTCTAGTTTTTCTGAGTTTTATTCTTCAATAGAATGTTTTGACCAAATTAAGCATGTTAAAATATTTTAAATAATATTGAAATGAACTCCTTTAAATATTGAAATGAGCACCAAAAGGAGACATATTATTGGAACAGTCTCCAGAAGGAGTAAAATACTGTCATATTTTTATTCTGAACTCTGATTCCTAGTGAAGCTTTACTATTAGGTCACTTGTATTTTATTTTTAAAAAGAATCTCTATTTCCTGTCTCTGTTCCTACAAAAATAGAACAGAAACAGGTGGAAATGTTATCATGAGATCAGCTTGAATCCCTGTTGCTTTTTCAATAGATAATGGCTGAGAAGCAACCACAAAAGACCAGGGTTTTTGGTGGCGATAGAATGACGTGGATTTCTCCAGTGACCCTGAAGGAACTTCTAGAAGCTAAAGTCAAGTACCCCCAGGCTCCTATTCTCATGGGGAATACCTCTGTGGGTATGTAGAACCCCAGGGACTTCTTATGTGGAGAAGCGCTTGGGGAGGGAGAGAACCTCATGCATGCATTTTTAAGGAAAAAGTCTGAAATAATATGTTTAACCATCGAGATGTGACTTCCTCAGCATTGCTCAAGAGACTCTCACGATTTCCATTATGTAAATAAATTCCTATTGCCCATAATCTGAACAGCACACAAAGGTACACCCCTGGAGGCCTGCTCCATAACAGATAAGGCGCCAGCAGTTCCAGTCACAGCTGGCCTGTCTTTGCATGTACAGACTGATCTGGAGCTTGTATTTGGAATGACTCTTTTTTCTCTTTCTCGGTGGTGTCTCAATAGGTATAATATGTTCTCTTCAGCTGCAGTTATAGGCTGTTTCTATTATATCCATTGTAGCAGTTAATTTGACTGCCTACTTCTTTGAGGAGTTTCCTAGAGCCCTCACAAAGAGAATGCTGAGTATGCCACAAGTTGTCTTGATTCATCAGCCAAGTTTTAAGCTGACAAGTCCAAAAAGTCATCCAAGTGCAGTGAAAATCCATCTGGTCAGTGTGTGTGTGTGTGTGTGTGTGTGTGTGTGTGTGTGTGTGTGTGTGTGTTTTGGCAATGAACAGAGCAACAGAAAGATATGTAGTTTTTATATATTTAAAGACATCAGTTTTCATCACAATCTCAAAATTTAAAAGACAGTTAGCCCCCTTTATCCTAGTCTTCTTATTTTTTTTTTCCTAATCCTTTAGGGCCTGCAGTGAAATTCAAAGGTGTCTTTCACCCAGTTATAATTTCTCCTGATAGAATTGAAGAACTGAGTGTTGTAAACTATGCAGATAATGGTGAGTTATTAAAGTCCCTGTTTTTTTGGTTCCCAGCAGATAAGCAGAAAAAGAATTATTTTTAATTACAATATATAGAGATTCTCTTCTTATAAGAATGATAACATTCTTGAGGAAGCTCAGGGAAGAATTCTCTATAATTACATGAGATACTAATTGTCTGAATAGTCAGATTTTTACTAAAGAACTTTCTATGTCTGCTATATCCAAGAAATGTAATAACTATTCAATGAAGGGTACTGTGCTAAGTGCTGGATAAAAGGTAAAGATGAATAGAACACAATCTTTGCTCTCCAGGAACACAGTAGGAAGCGAAGCAAGTTTATGTGTTAAGCAGCTTACAGACTGGTTTGTTTTCATTCTGATAATGGAAATTGATTTAATGACAATGATAAGCTATATAAATGTGGGTTTGGAGTCTGGCTCTGGAGTCTAATTCTTGACTATGTCATATATTAGCTGTAAAAACTTAGCCAAATTACTTAACTGAACCTCAGTTTCTTTATCTGTGAAATAGGGCTAAAAATATCTCCAAGGCTAGTTAGGATTCAAGGAGTTTCTGTGGAGTGTTTAATACAGCGCTTGATACAGTGAATGTTCAAAACATTGAACCCCCATCACCTCTGTCACCATCACCACCACCTCCATCACCGCCATCACCACCATAACCACCAATGAGCAGGGCAGCATGTATCCAGCATAAGATCCCATATCTGTAATCTAAAGTCTAATGGACATTTCCAGGTCAGCAGTGATCATACTGCATGATTTACAAGTGATTTCATTTCAGGGCTGACCTTAGGTGCTGGCCTCAGCCTGGCGCAGGTGAAGGACATCCTGGCTGACGCAATCCTAAAGCTCCCAGAAGAGAAGACGCAAATGTACCGTGCTCTCTTGAAGCACCTAGGGACTCTGGCTGGGTGCCAGATCAGGAACATGGCTGTATGTATTTGATGACAGTAAATTTGGGTGTGTGCCCCTTGAATGACTGTCCCTGACAAATCATAACATGTTTATTCTTTTGGAACAGGCAAAAAGAGTAGTTCTCTAAAACCTTGCTTATGTCTTATTCTATCACTTGTGTTTTCATAATTCTACAACTGGACTGAAAATAACTCATTATTTTAAAAAGTCTTTAGGGGGCCACATTGTGAGCAGGCATCTAGATTCAGATCTAAATCCCCTCCTGGCTGTGGGCAACTGTACCCTCAACTTGTTATCAAAAGGTAAGTAATACTCCTTCTTGGGGATTCTTAAATCTGCTTCTCCTACCCTTTGTCTCTCTGGAGATGCAGGAAGTCGAGTTTTGACAATGACTATTCTTTATACTATTAATAATTCTCTCTACTGTTCTGACTCGTGAAAAGTTAGTCAGCCTGGTCCTAATCCCACACACTCCCAATGTCTTCATCTGTTTCTTATTTGAGGACTCATGCTGGATAATTTCCCCTACTAGTCACCCAAGATTGACCACACTTGTGTTGGTAGTGTGCTGATGTGATCTGACTAGTGGAGAGAACTATAAGCCATTGAGACGATTTGGCCCCTTGGTGGAAGACTTTCTCCAGGTGGTGCAGGAGTGTGGTGGCACCCACATCATGCTGTGTGCTCATGCTTAATTTGTCATTGATGGAAGCCTACAGACCTTTTTCTGTTGAACAATGGTTGCACTTCATTTTATATTGATTTACTTGAATTTTGCTTTTGAAACTAAGTTCAGGACTTTTAATTTATTTTTTTTGTTCTAACTTGGTCAACAATTGTTAGGAAATTCTAATTGATCCTCTATAAACCTGTTTTCTTTTCATTTAAAAATATGGATTAGCTTTCTATTACCTGCATTGTTAAATACCTACTCTTCTTATCATCTAAACTACAAAATTATCTTAAAGAGGAAGATTTGCATTCAGAGTTATCAATTTAAGTAACATCTCTTTTTAAAATCATATAATGAGAAAGAGGTTTTGTGAGGTGAATATAAAAATCAAAAACTTCTTAGCTTTCATCCCAAAATCTGATTTCTCTTTATCCCTCCAATATATTGATTAAGGAACAGAAATTTTTTAGGTGCTGGAAAAAGATATAAACAAAAAAATATCACCTCACTAGTATAAAACTTGATTAAAGACAATTTATTTATTTACTACGGTACCTAGTAAGGATCCTGGTTATAAACAATAAATGTTTGTTGAAGGACTTCATCAGAATATCAAAAGGGATATTACTATTTACTCCCTATTTACAAAGCTCAAAATGAATTGTGCAGCTCAGGAAGAGGACTGCTAAGATCCTGTTCTTCCTGACCTCTGGGCTACTCTGCTAGATATTTTTATTTATAAGCAAAGGCGGCAAAACAAAGCAAAAAATAAGTGGATCCTAGATGGGAAGAAACCTTGCACGATACCGTGATAGGGTGAACAATTTGTTAAGCATAGAAAGAACGGTTCTTTTCCCAGTGTTTCCTTGGGTATTTGGTAGAATTATTTCCCAAGTTTTGGGAGTTTGATTGTTTAATAGAACAGATTCCAGGGGGAAGTGTTATTTCTTTCCACAGAAGGAGAACGACAGATTCCTTTAAATGAGCAGTTTCTCAAAAAGTGCTCCAGTGCAGATCTTAAGCCTGAAGAAATCTTGATCTCAGTGAACATCCCCTACTCAAGGAAGGTGAGACTGGCCTATCAATTTCTTGGTTTTACCTATGAGCCTACAGCTTGTTAATTCCCACAGATAGTGGGTTAAGAAAAGGTATCGAGTGTTTACAGGGGAGATTTACGAGGACCCATAGTCCCCCCTTACCTGTGGTTTCACTTTCTGTAGTTTCAGTTACCTGCAGTCAACCATGGTCCAAAAACACTCAATGGAAAATTGAATTAAAAAAACAATTCATAAGTTTTAAACTGCATGTTGTTCTGGGTAGCATGATGAAATCTCATGCCATCCAGCTTTGTCCCTACAGGGATGTGAGCCATCCCTTTGTCCAGTGTATCCACACTGTATATGCTCCCGCACGTTAGTCACTTCATAGCTATCTCCGTTATCAGATCAACTGTCATGGTATCTTAGAGCTAATGCTCAGTAACCCCTTATTTTACTTAATAACAGCCCAAAGCACAAAAGTGATGCTGGCAATTCGGATATGCCAAAGAGAAGCCATAAAGTGCTTCCTTTAAGTGAAAAGATGGAAGTTCTCGACCTAATAAGGAAAGAAAAAAAAAAGCATACACTGAGGTTGCTAAGATCTACAGTAACTACCCAGCATTACTTCTTTTTTCCTTTTTTTTTCTTTTTTTTTAGCTGAGCCATCCTGCCACCTGTTGGCAGCTCAGCAGCAGCTCAGCTTGGGCTGGGCATCGAACCGCTGTTGCTCAGAGCTCGCACTCTTGAGCGAGCTCTTAACCAACTGAGTCACTTGGCCGGCCCCCAACAGTACTTTTTAATGTTTGTCACACACTCTTCTGTCATTCCTAAAATCAGGAGACCTTTGTCTCTGCTCTCCCCCACCCCCACCCACTCTTCATCCCCGCTCCAACTCTAAAGTTACTTTTTTACTGATTTTTAAAATTCTTTGTGCCATGAGGCTTTTCTCTAAATAAGGCTTGAAAATATATCTCTCTACCATGTATCTTGGAGTTTGAAAGAGACTAAAAAAAAATACATTTGCAATAGAACTTAGTGGGAAAAAGGTCTTTGGGGTTAGACTCAAAATTGAACCCTGGTTTCAAAATCTGCTGTGACCCTGAACTAACTGCTGACTCACTCTGAGCCTTAGATTCCTTATCTCTGAAATGGGAATAATCGAGTTTACCTTAAAGGGTGTGTTAGTCTGCTAGGGCTGCCATAACAAAGAACCACGGACGCTGGCTAAGCAACAGACATTTATTTCTTCATGGTTCTGAAGGCTAGAAATCTGATGTCAAGATGTCAGCAGGGTTGGTTTCTCCTGAGGCCTCTCTCCTTGGCTTATAGATGACCATCTTCTCCCTGTGTCTTCACATAATTTCCCTCCATTCATGTCCGTGTCCAAATTTTCTCTTCTTATGAGGACACTACCATGTTGGGTTAGTGCCCACCCTAATGACCTTACTTGAACTTAATTGCTTCTTTAAACTGCATCTCCAAATGCAGTCACATTCTGAGGTACTGGGAGTTAAGACTTCAACGTATCAGTTTTGGGGGTACACAGTTCAGCCCAAAACAGATTGTGTGACCAGGATGTATGAGGCAACATAAGTTTTGCCTAGAAACTCAACATGAGTTTTGCCTAGAAACTCGGTGTGTTTCTACATGTGCCGCTTAACTTGTGCTTTCAGTGGGAATTTGTGTCAGCCTTCCGACAAGCCCAGCGGCAACAGAATGCGCTCGCAATCGTCAATTCAGGAATGAGGGTCTTTTTTGGAGAAGGAGATGGCATCATCAGAGAGTTATCCATCTCATACGGAGGCGTTGGTCCAACCACCATCTGTGCAAAGAATTCCTGCCAGAAACTCATCGGAAGGTATGGCATCATATTTTTAGACTCCAAGTAATCGAGTAGCTCTTTTTGTGGTGACATGCTATTACAAGAAAAAAATCCTTACTACATTTTTATTTAATGGCACAGAATTCCAGTAAGATTTTGTCATTGTTTCCATATGTCTTGATTTTAGTAAATTCTGAAGTGGGAATCATGTAGTCTATGTAAATGTACGTGTGTGTATGTGTGTGTGAGAGAGAGCGCCTGTATCCCAATAGCACATAGGTGCAGTAAGCAAAATGAGTAGATTTGCATTCATTATTGTGAGAAAATAATTTGCCATGATGAAAAACAGATTATGGGAGTTTGTTTTATAATAAATTGCTTAATGCATTTGCTGACCTGACTTTTTATTTCTATGGGTAATACTAATTGCCAATATTTCTTGAGTATTTACTAAATATCAGTTATCATTTCATAAGGAATAGGGAGTAATGGTTAAAAACACAAACTCAGTTGAGCCAGGCTGCCTGGGTCCAAATCTCTGTTCAATCTCTATCAATTATGTGATCTCAGCTTACTTAAGATTAGGATACCTCAGTTTCCTTATCTATCAAAGGGGGATAGTTGTCCTCACCTCATAGGGCAGTTGGGAGGATTAAATGAGTGAATACATATACGGAGCTTAAAACAAAACCTGGCTTGCAGTAAACATTCTAGTGATATAGGGGTCAGTTACTCCTGAGCTAAGGACTTAATACACGTTGTCATTTCATTCTTGTGACCGTTCTATGAGGCGAGTTCTACTATTCTTCCCCTATTACAGATAGGAAGTGGTAGACCTGGGCCAGGCACCTTGAGAGGGGTGGACTGTGATTTGAACCTGGGTTGCCCGACTCCGGAGCTTGTACATCGTATATCCTGCATTAAGCTGTAGCTATTTGTCTTACACACAGCTGAGCCTGTGAGTCAGTGAGTCCTGTCAGACTAGGAGTCTTCTTTTTTTGACTCTCACAGGCCCTGGAATGAAGAGATGCTGGATGCAGCTTGCAGGCTGGTCCTGCAGGAAGTCTCCCTTCCAGGCTCAGCTCCGGGGGGGAAGGTGGAGTTCAAGAGGACCCTCATCATCAGCTTCCTCTTCAAGTTCTACCTGGACGTGTCACAGATTCTGAAGAGGATGGTAAATGGAACAGACCATGTGTTAGCTTTCCCAGTCTTAGGGGATATGGGGATACCCAAAATGGAGGCGATAACCCCCTGCCAAATAGCTATAGAATAGAAAAGACAACCCAAACTAGAAACACATGTCTCTTGCTGGGAATACTTCAGGCTGTCTGTTGATGGCTTGTAAGTTTGGGGAAGGATTGCAAGGAGAGCACAGAGTTGTGCAGGACTTTGTTATTTTGTTTCTGACCCAATGTAGGTGGTGTGCAGAAAACTTGGTAAGGGTTTGGATGTATTTCCTTCAGTAAGGCACTTCCTTCCCTTGTCGAGGGTCACCTTCGTGCATTTGGCTTGCTTCTCTGGTTCAGCTTCATTTCGCTCACCTATAAGATAATGATGGCAGCCACCCCAGAAGGTTATTGTGAAATGGGCCATCATAGGAAAAGGGCTTAATATGGTCCCCAGTGCTTCAGAGGACCATGATGAAGACGGCCTAGCACTAGTCCTAATAGTAATCATCCATGCATTTTTTAATTTATTTTTTTGCCTGATATCCCTTATGACAAACAATTTGTTACAAGATTGTTGGCTAGGGAGGACACAACTAAAAGAATTTCTCTGAATAAATTCACTAGACACAAAGGGAAGTTGAGCCATATTGGCCTCATTCATCCCATGCTACAACCAACCTACCAAGCTAGACTAGAAGCCAAGACCATTCATCACGTGATATAGAAATTAGTGTGATCACTTCTAGTAAGAGGCACAAAGTTCTCTCTTACTGCTTCTAAGGCTATCTTCTCATTATACGTGGGGAAAACTAAGAATCAGAATAGTTGTATTGAATTTTTGAGAATAGAAGCTTGAAATCATATGTAAGTGACATATCATCACCAGGTAATCAAAAGAGAAAAAAATCATGCCAATTGTAGACTCCTCCAATTAATAGTAAACTAATACAATTTCTTGGGTGAATCAAGTGATATAATTTAAAGCTTCCACCTTGTAGTCTCATACTTCCATTTCAACTTCCTCTATTCAATGTTCCTCTACTCTTAAAAAGAATAGCCTTGGTTGGCTTTAATTTTCTATTAAAATCTTTTAGAATATAAAAGATAACCATTAAGTGTATTATGTAAAGCCTTGTATAAAGCCCCAAATGACCCATTTTCCTATGTTCTAAGACGTGTTCTTCCTGGGACCCCACAGTGCCTCCTCCTGTGGGGCTGTGCCCGGGATGTGGCCTCTGCATGTTCCTTCCTCCCAGGTTGGCCAGGGGGTGCAGCGCAGAGTTTTAATCACATGTGCAATGGTGTGCTTTTGACTTTCTCCTTGTGTAAGCAATTCTGTTCCTTTTGATTTTACTTATTTTGCTTCCCTCTTCCTGTTTTATTAGTTGGTAAGCCCTCAAATCATTTAGGAAAGCATGTGAGAGAATCCTAAGAACACAGAGATGTGGGAAGTCAGTGGCCTGCTGCATCCACTTGGCTCTTCATAATGTATGGACCTTCCAGAGCGTGTGTCCTGGGGGGACGGGAGCTGCCTGTACTTCCAGAGTTCTGAACAAGAGGAATACTTAATAAATGTTAGACTTCAGAATAGAGCTGTATGTTAAGAACCATGCTAGTAGACTCCCTTCCAAGACCATTCAGGCACATTTTAAACATCTACAATGGCTCTACTTTTCAGGACCCTGTTCACTATCCTAGCCTTGCAGACAAGTATGAGAGTGCTTTAGAAGATCTTCATTCCAGACATCACGGGAGTACATTTACATGCCAGGTTAGTGGCTTTTTTGTTGTTCTTTTTTAATTCAAAGGGCCTGGGCTGTAACTCCTTCACCTCGACATTCCCACTCATCTCTCAGTGATTCTCAACGAGCTCCCATTCTGGTGAACTCAACAGCCTTCTTTAGTGTTAATTACACTTTCAAAATCAAAGAATTTTGACTAAAAACTAAGCTAGCAATGGTAATTTTTTTTAATGTCTGTTTTGATCTTAAAGGTCCTGTGTTTTGTTTTGTGGTCTTGTACCATCAACATGACTGTGCTGGCAAGCTTGCCACATGCTTGCCCTTGGCAGCATCAATGTCAGAGCACAGGGCTCAGGTGACCCACGAACTACAGTGTGGGGGCAACAGATGGGGGAGGAAGGGGAGACCTCCATAGCTTTTTCCAGGCCTCACCTTGGCCAACCTACCGTATGCCTCTCACCCCCACGTCTTCCAGGGAAAGCCTCTGGGAGCCTGGCCTCAGCCCTAGTGCCAAATGTTGACCCAGTGAGTTGTGGATGGGGCTGCCCAGCACAACTTAGCAGGGCGCCAGACCCAGAGCTGCCCTCTCCTTTTAGACAGTAGTCACATGGCTGCTTGGCTGGCAGTTTTCCTGGAATTTCCACTTCCCACACTCCCTCATCAGCCACAGCCTTCACCTCAGTCTTTGAGCCTGGCCTACCATGTCTCTTAACCCCTTCTTTGTTCATGCCTCCAGTTCTTCTTCCACCAATAATCAACCAACTTGGAAAGCTAACAAATCTCTCATTTGAAACACTGAGGGTGACATCATGTTTCTTCATTTCTACTTTGGTTAGTGAAACATATTTAAGGTATTTAAGCAAGAAATTCTACCCCATGGGTCCCTAAGAAAGAATAACATTAGCGAATCATTACTCAAAATGCATCTATCTCCCTTTGGCTTCATTCTTTATCAGGAGTATCTAAGTTATGAGTTTTACCATTTCTTAGACTTCTTCACTCAAAATAGAATTATTTCTTATATCTTATACTTCTTCACTCAAAATAGAAAAAAAAAGGGCTCTCTGGTTGAATACATGCTCTCAAGAGTTTCTATAAACAGTCATGATGTCACCATGCTCTTCTGCAAACATTTTTGTGCCGTACTTAGACGCAAGCAGTAACGTAATTTTGAGCATTAGCAAGAAGATATCATTTTGCATTACCAGAAAGAAGGATTTATATTTATTTACTTACACAAATGGGATTTGCATTTGAAATGTTTGTGGTCTATATTCAAAAAAGTGGGGGGAAAATAACAGCATTATGCTACACATTCACCCCAGCTTCCCTGTTGAATTATTGAAATAGGCTAATTGTCCTAGTGTTAGTATTAATAATGACAGTTTTTATTTTCAAAAGTGTTCTGGTTTGGATGTAAGTTATATAGCTACCCTCTTATGGGGGACGTCCATAATATGATTATAAAAATGATATGTTGGTTATTGATTAAACAGGGTGTAGACCCAAAGCAGCTTTCTCCAGACCCGATTGGCCAGCCCATCATGCACCTGTCTGGTATTAAGCATGCCACGGGTGAAGCCATCTACCTTGACGACATGCCTGAGGTGCACGGGGAACTTTTCTTGACTTTTGTAACAAGTTCAAGAGCTCGTGCTAAGATTGTGTAAGTGATAACTTTCTTACCCAATAGACATTAATGACTGCCTTTTCGTCTAAGTCACATTAGTGAAAAGCAATGGTATGAGGAAGGTAAGTTCTTCATTGGCGATGTTCAATGCAGATTAGAAGTGAAATGGGATCAAAATGTGGGACTTACTACAGTTTGTCCCTCCATCTAATAACTTCATCATCCCAGAAAGTTTTTCCCAGTTGTCTGTCAGAGAACTATTGGAGGATTCTTTCCTCTCTCATGTCTTATTCTTCAGTTAAGCCCGTTCCCCTAGCTCTTTGGGCTGTGGTGCTGCTCTGAGGACCCCTGCTCTGTGTGTGTTCTCATCCAGGTCTATTGATCTGTCAGAAGCTCTCAGCCTGCCAGGAGTGGTGGACATTGTGACTGAGGAACATCTTCATGGCGTAAACTCCTTCTGCTTTATAAACAAAACTGAGAAAATTCTGGAGTCAAATGAGGTACGGCGTGTTTGCTTTCTGTTTTAAAAATAACTTCCTCCATTAATGGCACTTCATATTTTCTTAAAGATAACATCACATTTGGAACATTATAAGTATCCAATATTCTTTGAATGCTTATTATAAAACATTATCTTCTAATGGCACGTGAATTCAAATAGATTCATTTTCCACACAAGTAAAGAAGTAGCGTTGGCAGAAGACAGTGAGAAGTATGACCTTGGCATACATGTTAACTAAATCAGCGAAACCATTCCAGTTTGTACTATAGTACCTGCCTTCTCAGGTGTGGGTATGTTGATGACGAGCCTCTGGAGGCCATGTCTGGCACCATGTCTGTGTGCCAGGTCATGGGCAAACCAGATGACCGTGGATAGTGAAAACGAGAGCAGAGAACAGGGACGATGTAAACAATTGCCTTTGTGAGTTTGATTCCTTTTTGAACATTTGTCCATAGCATGTTATGCCTTTTAAAATTCTTTCCACTGTAGAAATTTTAAGCATACACAAAAATAGAGATTCAACAATTGTCAACATTTTGCCATTCTTGTTTCATTTATCTCCCTACTGCTCCTGCCAACCCACACCCAACAAACACCCTTTTGTGCGTGAGTGTGTGCACACACACTGGAATTAACGTTTTTTACTACTATTTTTTCTAATGATAAAACGATTATATGCTCATTATAAAAAAGACACAATAGTCTAATGTAGGTTTAAAAAATGAGTGGTTAAGTTTTAACTGTGATCATGGTATAAGGTGGGAGAGAACTAAACAGTCATGGTGACTTCTTCCAGTCCTGATTATTTAACCTTTCTGGAGCCTTGGTTTTGTTTTTCTTCCATCAACTTTCTGCGCTGGTCCCTATGGAAGCTCCTTGGGCTGCATACCCACCTGCAGGTGACACGATGGATGCTCTGTGCTTGGTCACACCTTGGCTAGTATAGTCTTGCATCTGTGCATGAGGAGCCTGTGCTCCACCACAGTGTGCAGCACAGATTTGCTCACCTGCAGGGCTATGTTATCCCTCTCTCCCTCCTTCCTCTCTGGATAAGGTAGGCTGTGACTCCCTGGTCTTTTCTGTCCATGAAGGCAAAAGCCACCTCTCAGAATGGCCCCGCTCATGGTGCGGCAGCCACAGGCCAAGCTGTGGGACTGGCTCTCCTAGGCCAGTTGGCCCTCGAGCAACCCTGTCAACTCAGTCTGGAACCTGAGTCTGCTGTACAGGAGGCAGCATCACTCCTGCCCCTCACATGCCATCACTGCCAGGAATGCGGCAAAAAGACCTGAATTTCCCCAGGGCCTGGGGGCAGCAGGCCAACTCTGACAAACGCATTTGCCTCCCGAAGCCTTTCTTAGCATCGGCACTGAGGTTGAGACACACGTGAAGGGCTCATTTATTGTGTGTCTAGCTCTATGCTAAGAGGGAGGAGAAAAATGAATGCAAGGAGAAGACCTGGTACCTGCCCTCCCTGAGAACAAAGGCCTTTTCTGTGTTGTAGGTATCTTGCGTGGGTCAGCTGGTCTGTGCTGTGATTGCAGATTCTGAGATTCAGGCAAAGAGAGCTGCAAAGCAAGTAAAGATTGTTTACCAGGATTTGGAGCCAGTGATTCTAACAATAGAGGTAAGGAGTTCAAGGGTGGTGCCAGAAAAGCAGATGTCAGTGGTGTTGTCATAAAATGCCTTAGACTACAATAACAGGAAAGAAAACCTGATTCGTAATGACTTCCAAAGCACAGGGGCTTTATTGGCTCCAAACTTTATCAGTTTTAGCAAGAAACTTGATTTCCTGCCTCATCTCCCTGCTGCGCACAATACAGGCTTTATGCCCTGTGGTCACAAGAGGTCCCAGGTCATATCCAAGAAGCAAAAGAGAACAGCCTTGTCCCAACATTCCATGAGTCCTGAAATACAGCTTCATCAGACCACTCAGTCACATACCCAATTCTGCGTTCATGATTAGCCAGAGGAATGGAGGAGCTGCTGGTTACTGCTAGAGAGTCAGATTACATAGGCTGTATGGGGGAATGGTGGAGACCCAAACAGAAACCTGAGCATTGATTGGAAGGGGACAGGTGAGAAGAATGATAGATGGGCAACCAACAGTGTCCAGTAGAGGGGACACACCCTAGTACCCTGGATAGCAGGTGCTTGAATAACATCATTTCATTCAGTGTTGTTTGTTATAGCTTTAATGAGATGCCTTAGGAACCTAACCCTTTTTTCTGTCAATTAGCCTATAGTAAAATTGGTTTTGTTATACGTCGTTTTGGCACAGGTCCAAGAACCTCTCCATGTTAAGTGAGGCCTGACTGTATTCACCTTCACCCAGACTGTCTCAGGCACACATTGAGAACCAACAAGATGTTCTGGGAAGCAAATACTGGAGACACCATTTTTAGATCCTTTAATGCCTATCTTAAATGAGCATGAGAAATAGATCCTATGATGTCTACAGATATTTTGGCAACTTAAACAAGTTGGAGAATTGCATTTCCTAACCTGTTTTTTAAAAAAGGAGTTTGAAATTTATAAAAGTTATAAGATTCATTTCCATGTAATGACAGACTTCTTCAGCATAAGTGTCACTGGTTCTTATCATTTACTAAGTAATAAAAGCATAAAATTTGGGGAAGCAGCATGAATAGATTCGATTCAGCATATACAGACGCCATGTACTCTGGGAATACAATATTATCTCCACAGCATAATGAATAAGTTGTTCTCTAGGCAGCTAGCATGCCCTGAGGCAGAAGATGAGGAAAATGACTGGGCCAAGTTTAGTGCCTCCTGGAGACCTTAGCCTTGAGTGTGTCTCCTGTCGTGATGCTTTATACCTAGGAGTTCAGTTTGTTGCTGGGCAATGTCTTCAGTGTTTTAAAACTAAAATAAAATCATGTAACGAAGATAAAAATATAGGAGTTTAATTGGCATCAAAGAGTGATTAGGCCTTCTAAATTTTCCTGGCCAGTTTTAAATTCAAACATTCTGTTCCCTTCTCAGACCCTTTTCATTCATGTGTTGCCTGCTATGCTTCCTTACTTTAATACATTCCTTCTTCAACATTTTAGAGTTAGAATTACTTCTTCATAAGAAATCATTTACATAATGCTTCATCAAAAATTCTGTTTGTAATCTTTTGCCCAATACCAGTGACTAGATATCTTTCTTTCTTTGCCCCCACCTTCCAGCCAAATAAAATTCCTAAGAAGCAAATTGATACCACTCTCTTCCTGCCCTCCCCAACTCCTCTCAGTAGATCTCTAATTGTCTGCCAGAGAATACCAGCATCAAACACCAAACTTTGACATTGTGGAGTAGAACTACTTCATGTTTTTATCAGAGGTTAAGCTCTGCAAGGTCAGTTAACTAGATCCAAGTGTGGATTTAATCAGTTTATTTACAGCAAGGAAATGTGCCCAGCCCCCTACACACTAACATTCTTTTATCACTTCCCTGACCAGGAAATTAGCCCAAAGTCACTCAAAGACAAAGCAGCAAGTGAAGTAGAAAAAGATTAAACTTTTTAAAACAAGGTTTATGAAACTTAACTTCTGTTTTCTACCTGGCATGTCTGAGTCTTGGATTAATAATAAAATCACCAGGATTGATTCCAGTAGAAAGTGTGTTATCTATCAAAATAGGATAAGAACAAATGTACCTCTGTCACTGTTCTCTGAGGTTTAACCTAGCTTATGCTTGTTAGAGTTTTTAATAGTTTGAATGGGAAAACTCTTAGTTCAGGGGGTGAAGCTGATGACCACCGGGAGAGAATTATGCTCTCGACCAGAATCTCTCATCAATCATCATGAACAACATGACCATAGCCAATACCTACACGGAGCTCACTGTATGGTTACGTGGCTCTGTGCAGGTTTCATCCTTTAACTTACTAAATGCTCATAACCGTCCTATACAATAAAAACAGTTATTATCCCCATTCTAATGAGGAAACTGAAAGACAGGGTTACCCAAGGTCACACAGTTGGTCAATAACAGAAGCAGTCAACAAACACTCTACCAAAGAACCTGGGCCCCACAGAGGTTAAAAACAAACCAGCCCACTTTTTGGATGGAGGAAATGGCAGGATCACAATAGAACATCCCTGTAAGGCATTTTGACAGGTCTAGACCCTACTGGTGGTCAGAGGGAACCAGGGTTAGGAGAACTCCCAACTGCCAACAAGCTGGAAATTTCATGAACGGACCATAATCCATGGTAGATGGTGCTGGCAGGAGCTGGCATGTCACACTGGCCAGTGAACACAGGGATCACAGCAAGATAAATTCTGAGGGATAGGTAAGAAAACCAACCTAGATTATTATAGCTGCATCCCTAATTATGTGTCCCCACTACTGTACCCCTTCACTGAGTACAGGGAAAGCCAGTAAAAGCCAATCAATGTACAAGTGGATTGGTGGTACCCACGCTGGGCTTGTAATGGAATCTGAGAGCAGGACTGGATACCCCAAGGGCTATAATGCCCTGTGCAAATGCTATGCTCATCGCCCCCAAAGCAGGAGCCTGGGGCTGGCAGGCAGGTCCTCCACAATCCTTATCGTTAGAGTGTCTCCAGCTAGCATTGACTGAGCACTGATTATCTGTAATGTAAGCTCTACACGCTTCATTTCATTTTATCCCTCTACAACCCTATTGGAGTTATGTGTCCAACTACACCTCCATTTGACAAATGAGGCAGAGAGGTGAAGTCATAGACCCATAGTCAAATAGCTAGTAAATGGATACAACTCTGACTGAGTCCGGAGCCCAAGCTCTGTGTGGCCTTGGCTGCATAAAATGGGCTGTGGAATGAAGAGAATAATCTGCCTGGAAAATAGTAGCGCCATTCTGGGACCATGTAGGTGCCAGGTTTTTTCTGAGCATACTGTTTCTTTTGAGTCAGAGTATCTCTGAAGCCTGGTTCTTAGCTCAGCTCATGGGGTCATGCCGAAAGTGCATGGTATGCCAGAGCAAAAGGCGACATGCTGCCCCGACTCAGATGATGCCCCACTGCCCATGGCCCACAGTGTGTGTCTACTGCCATAGGGCTGGATGGTGTGTCCCAATGGCCTCACTTTTCTGTTCTCTTTCTAGGACGCTGTACAACACAATTCCTTCTTTGAGGAAGGAAGGAAACTGGAGTACGGAAATGTTGATGAAGGATTTAAATTGGCTGACCAAATTCTTGAAGGTAAAACTATCTGGAAAAAATGACAAGGGGGAAGCAGTGGAGGACAGTTTATTAAAGCAGGAAGAGTCACAGCTCTCAAAGCAGGAGGGGGTACCCGACTGGGATGTCCACTAGCTAAGGCAAAGGATTTTGCTTTTATACTTTTTCTTGTATGCCTGGGGAGATGAGCTGGCTGGTACCTTTTGGTATTATTATCAGATTTGTTTAACCTGGAGGGGGCTTTTGTAATAGCCCATTTGTCCTGGAACATAATTGGGCTGGGGTGCGTTATTTTAGGACTAGCCCAGCTATCAGAATTGGAGTTTCTGCTCTGGCTGGGGTGTGTTATCTTAAAGCAGGCCTATGCTTTGAAGACATGCACATTACCTGGGGATTCCTGACTACCTTATGTTATGTTAACTAACCTGCCTTAATCCCCCTTTTGAAAACGGGAAAACCCTAAGTTCTGACTTTTTTGTTATAGGCTTGAGGAAAAAAATCTTTTCCTGCTCCCACACCTGAGTTTGTCACTCTGGCGGGGTCCTGTGACTTAAACCTATCTGCCAGCTATTAAGATTATTTTTCCTGGCTCTGTTATGGTTTCTGCCCTGATTCCCTCTACCATGGTCACTTCCTGACTGCCTATAATTTTTCTAGTTCACTTTTGTCCTTCCCTCCCTTCCTTCCAAACTTCCGCCCATTATGTATACAGGCATACCTCAGAGTCATAATCTTTTTGCTGGTGGAGGGCCTTGCCTTCAATTTGTAGAAAAACACATCTGTGAAGCTCATTAAAATGAGGTGTGCCTGTATATGGATAAAATAATACTGGTCTCAAAGATCCATTGTAAAGATTATAAGAGACAATACATGTGTACCTGTCACATAGCAAGAGGCCCATAACTGAGAGTCATCGATCATTATTATTAGGTTTAGATGTTTTTCTTGTTCTTCTCTAGAACAGGCTGTCTGTTACTGAGCTAACACACTGGCAGGCGTGCATTTATTGAACCCAGAGTTTCCCAGTTTTTCACACTGGGATTCTGGAGTTGGAATCACACTTGGGATTCTGGAGTTTGAAGATCCAGGGCACCCCAGGAATCTGAGTTTTTGACCAGTTTTAACAGTGCTCCAGGTGATTCTTAAGATTAATAAAATGTGGCAAACACTCGAAGGCTGAGTTTGTTTTGGGGGAAGAGGCAGAGGGAGCATTTTTAGCATAGAGCATCCATCCATGGTGTGAAAATCTTGAAAATGTCAGTATTTAGGGAGAGTTTTTCCATTTGTGCCATAATATGTCCTAGTCTCTGTTCTTGCCACAGTATGTTTTTATGTGAGAATTTACCTATGGTATTTTTCCTTGACATCTTATTTAATTACTTAATTCAGTTAGGTAATTTATTCAGCCTGTGTCTCACTTGAATTGTAACTTGCTAGTTGCATCATACCCTGTTAGAAAGGATAAAACCTATTAATTAATAGAAAGCTTTAAAAGGAACGCATATAATACTTTTAAGTTTTCATTCTCTTAACTCACTAGTTTGAGGTGTTTTCTTTTTTTTTTTCTTACTCTGCAATTGTCATTTTGATTAAGAATTTTTGACTACTTGTTTCACTGCGAGATCATTGGAGTTAAGAATCATAATAGCACTTTATTTGCCCCTTAGGATAATAGGTGCCCCAAGAAAAAGAAAAAAGAATATTTAAAAGATACAACATGTGGGGCATTACATCAAATCTTAGGCTGTGTTCTTGAAGGGAGTGGTGTTATTGTTTGTTTTCCTGGCTGTGAAGATTTCAGCCCTACCTAACCCTGGTTCATAGCTCTCTGTTTACAAAAAGGGCCAGCTGTGGCCAGCGAGGCATGTGACTGGCCAGGAAACACATCTGTCCAAGTTTCCCAACTCTGAAGTTAGCACATTCTGTCCTCTACAGGAAGCTGCTGCTCATTTCTCTCTTTAAAATTCCATTAGCTAGGATGGGCTTTACACTGGAGGGGAAGGAAGATGGCAATCTAACAGGATTTGCAAGACACCTGGAAGTGAGATGATCTTCCCACAACCTGCCCTGTTGGGCATGGTACAGATAAATCCCCATCATATCTGAATGGTTTTACCAGCTTGAAGGACCTCTTATTAAAATGTAAATATGCCTGGAGGAATCACTCCTACACCCTCACTGGAATAACAGTTTATCTAAGGATTAGTTGAATCAATTGGTTTCCAGCCTAGAGAGCTGAGGGCACCGCCCTAGGGCGGGGAGAGGGCAGTGTGGTGTAGGGCTGTGGGGTGGGCAGCATAGGGGAACAGGGCACCAGAACTTTGCCTTCCGCTCAGGTTTAAACAGAAACAGCTCTGCCTCACATGTTTTAGCTGTGTTTTTTATCTTTTATTTATTTTTTTTAAGGAGGATGTAGCTCACAGTGGCCTGTGCAGGGAACGAACTGGCAACCTTGGTGTGATCAGCACCATAGTTCTGTGTTTTTTCAATGAAAAAGCTGTCTAACCTAGGGGTCGGCAAACTTTTGAGATGGAAGAGTCGGGGTGGGGGGTGGGGGGGGTGTCAGCAAACTGCAGCTCTCGAGCATGTGGCTCTGAAGTAGAAAATGAAAACAAAGCTATCATAGTTTCATTTATAAAATTTTTGAAGGATATTATTCACATAATGGTGATTATGTAAAAATATATGTATAGCTCTCGAATAATTTTTAAATTGTTGTGAAGGACAGGATTGGCTCTTCCAGGGGTCGGCAAACTTTTGAGACAGAACGTACCCAAAGAGCCGCATGTGGCTTGAGAGCCGCAGTTTGCCGACCCCTGGTCTAACCAAATAAATTCTTAGGGGTAATCATTAATATTAATAATATTAATGTAATAGTTGTATTCTGGGTTTTTTTAACCCCTGTTTTTAATTTTGTTCCTGCCTTGCAATGGGTTACTTGAATATTTTCTAGAATTCCACTTTGATTTACCTGTAGTGTTTGGGGTTTTTTTTGGGGGGGGGGGCAGACAGTTTTATAACTTTGACAACCAGCAGTTAGTTCTTATCCACATTAACTGTTTGTAGATTTTTGAGAGGGGTGACAAGTACATACATAGGTAACCAACATATGGAACTTATTTGGTGAATCTTCATCCTCATTACATTTTCTGGACAACTTCCCCCACATACAGCATGGGGCATTTCTTATTCCTTTGGCCCAGACATACCCTCCCTCATTTATAACATAATGGTCTTTAAAATGTTCTCTGCATCCATTGAAAACCACATAAAGCAATGTTGTAATTTTGCTTCAAACAGAATTTGGAAAATTCAAGAGGAAAAGAAAGTCTGTTGTGTTTCCCTGTATTTTTGTTCTCTCCATTGCACTCTTGCCTTCCTGATGTTCCAAAGTCTTTTAAAAATCATTTCCTATCTGTTTCGAGAACTTCCCTTAGCCATTTATTATCTTAGGACAGGTTTGTTGAAGACAAATTCTCTTTGCCTTTGTCTGAGAATGTATTGATTTCTTTTTCATTCGTGAAGGATATTTTCACTGGGTATATAGAGTTCTAAGTTGACAGGTCTTTTAGCACTTGAAGAAAGATGTACCAGTTCCTCTGGCTTTCATGATTTCTGACAAGAAATCTGCCTCCATCTGAAGTATTTTCCCCTATAAATGAAGTAGTGTTTTTCACTCTCTGCTTTCAGTATATTTTCTTTGTGTTTAGTTTTCAGAAGTTTGACTGTGATGTGTCTTGGCATGGATTTCTTTGGTTTATCCTCTTTGGGATTTACTCTGCTTCTTGAATCTGTAGGTTTGTGTCTTTTACCAAGTTTGGGAGTTTTTCAACTATTATTTCTTTAAATACTTGACTTCAGTGTCACAAATTTTAAGTCTTTTATTTTAGTCACACAGTTTCTTGAAGCTCTGTTCATTTTCTTTTCCGTCTATTTTCTCTCTATGTTGTTCAAGTTGGGAAATTTCTGTTGTTCTATATTCTTGTTCATGGATAATTTCCTCTGTTCTCTCTGTTAAGTTGTTGAGCTCATCCATTGAGCCTCTTATATTTTGGCTATTATACTTCTTAGTTCTAAATTTTCCATTTGGTTCTTTTTATATCTTCTGTTTCTTTGTTGAGATTTTCTGGGGTTGTTGGGTTTTTTTTTTCATTTATTTTAAGTGTTTATGTCAATGCTCGTTGAAGCATTTTTATGATGGCCGCTTTAAAATCCTTGTCAGATAATTTCACGATCTGTGTCAGCTCAGTGTTGGCATCTGTTGATTGTCTTTCCTCATCCAAGTTGAGTTCTTGGTATGACGAGTGATTTCCGATTGTATCCTGGTCATTTGGGGTATTATAAGACTCTGGGTCTTATTTAAATCTTCTACTTGACCAAAGCTCCTCTGACCCTGTGTTGGTAGGGGGAGAGAGGGTAATGTTTCATTATTGCCAAGTGGAGGGCAGAAACCCAGGTTTCTTTCATACTCTCCATTGACACCACCCCAGCAGAGCGTTTGGGGTACCTGATTACAACCTAGTCAGGGTAGAAATCTAAGCTCTCCACTCAACTTTTGCAGATAAAAATTGTTCTGCAGTTTTTTTTCGTATTGTTTAGCTGGAGTAGAGTAGTTTTTGTATACAAACTTTCTATCTTGCTAGGCTTCCCCTTTCCTGGTCATTTATCTAGAGAAAGTAGGATTTTCTTGCAGATTTTTTTTTGTTTTCTGTTTCTGCCTGCTAGTGTTTTTGGATTTCTGGCATCTCTGGCATCCAGTATGGACTATATGAAGCAAACAACAACAACAAAACCCACTGAACTCACCACTGTGTCTTTCCTTGAGTCCCAAAGTCCCTAGCTGATGTGCTTTCTCCTCTGTACCTTGCAGAATCTTCTTATGTTGCCTTTATGTATAATGCCCAGGGTTTTTAGATGTAGTTAGCAGAAGTACAGGGAGACGTGTGTCTCCTCCATCTTGTCTTGGAGCTGGAAGTCTCCTTGTCATACTAGTTTGACTATAGAGAGTTACACACCTTTCCCTAGGACTCTGTGATCTATTATTGGCTTCAAATCTGCAGGTATAATGAAAGCTGAAGATGGTTGTTTGTACCCCTTCATCATACAGCCTGCTGCCCCAGCAGAAGCACTGTCAGTGGAATTTCTCCATAATGAGATAACAGCTGAAGGATGCTACCTGTCCTATGTGACAGCCTTCTTGATTCTGGTGTATTTTCCTTTAACAGGTGAAATACATATGGGAGGTCAAGAACATTTTTACATGGAAACCCAAAGCATGCTTGCTGTTCCCAGAGTAGAGGATCAAGAAATGGATATCTACGTGTCCACACAAGGTCCCACATTCACCCAGGTAACACAGGGCCATTGTGGAGGGGATGTGGCTAAATAGTTTCTGCCAGCAAACTATACCAAGAACAATGAGAGACAAAAATGTCATTTTAGAAACTGAAGGACTTTGGAATAGTATTTGCCGGCGTATAAGACGACTGGGCGTATAAGACGACCCCCTAACATTTCCACTCAAAATACAGAGTTTGTTATATACTCGCCGTATAAGACTACCCCCTCTTCCGCACACCTTCCACACACCAAATAAAAGGTAAAACAATATCAGATTTGATTTGGCCCACTGAAGTGCAAACAAGCGTATTGTATTTCGTGTCACCACATAACCGTTTTGGCGATGTTGAGCCACCATGTCTGCTACATGTTTTTCGAGTTCTGGCCAGTGTGGGGTGCCTCTTCTTAATGCACACTTACCCCTTGGCATACTCTTTAATGCTTTCTCATTTGATTTCCAGTCCCGAACCATCTTTTCTGTTACTCCATATTGTCTTGCAGCAGCACAATTATTATTTTCCTTAGCAAAGTTTATAACTTTCAGTTTAAAATTTGCATCATACTTCTTTCTTTTGGCTGGTGCCATGATAGGGATGATAGGGGTTTGACTGGTCGACATTTTCTATGCTGTACTGTACAATGGTGCAGTATTGTGGTTGGCTGTTGGCTGTATACAAAGCCTGATTTGATTGGTCCCTGCTCCCTGTTTGCCCGCCCTGTCACTATAGCAGTCTGGTCCACCCTTGCATCAGCATCTCCCTGGGACCTCACTAGTGCGCAAGTGCGAGCTCTTCAACATTCTAACAGGCACCATGATAGCGCAAAATCGCAAATCTTCAATGCATATGTAAAGAAATATACGGTAACCCGAATTTACCACACTCGCAAAATCGCACACAGCCGATCATACACCCAGCAGCGCTGCTGATGCCTGAACGGTATGTGGAATGAAGTGGGCGGGCATCGGGAGGCCACTATGGCACAGGGCAAGCACTATGGGCAGTCTATCTGAAGTGTACCTGGCGTATAAGACGACCCCCCACTTGGAGGCATATTTTTCAGGGCCAAAAAATCGTCTTATACGCCGGCAAATACGGTACTAATAACCATGTCCATTTGGTTATTAATAGCCATACAATTTTAAAGCTTTTAAGTCAGTATTATAAAAGTAGAGGCCTTCAGTTTGTGGATATGTAACTTTAAAACAGTTATGGAATCAGCAGGTCTTTTTTTGCTATACTCTTGACACTGTTAAGAATACAAAAGAAGTGATGACCAGCACTTAAACTGTTGAATGATAACATAGGAAAATTGTTAAGAGAATAACTCCTAAGAGTTCTCATCACAAGGAGAAATTTTTTTTCTTTCTACTGTACCTATATGAGATGATGGATGTTAACTAAACCTGTTGTGGTCATCTTTTCACAATATATATAAAAATCGAACCATTATGCTTTCTTTAGACCTTAAACTTATACAGTGATAAAGGACCAGGAGAAGGGAGGCTAGCAAGACAGAAAGTTTTTATACAATAACTACTCTACTCTAGCCAAACACTACACAAAAAAAACGCAGACCAATATATTTATTTCTCTAAAACTGGAAAAAGAAAAAAACGAAAAGCCTATAGGACCCAACTCACGTGAAGCAGTTAGGAAACTGTATTGGGCAGAATGCAACCTAGTATACATCAGTTAAGTCAGAATTTACATATGTGGGAGAATTAAAGGAATGTAGGGCCACTAAGAGCTAGAACCGTCCAGAAAGTGCCATGAAAATGAAGTCGTAGGTTTGGATTTATACTGAGAGTGAGGTTTGTCTAAATGACGAGAAGAGATGCCATTTCCAGACAATTCCACACAAAGATCAAGTGCACCCCTTCCTCCTCCCTGTCTCCCTTTCTCCCCCCATCCCTCCTGCCTTCCCTCCCTCCCTCCCTTCATCTGTCCCTTCTGCAAACACTTAGTGCCTGTGTCATATACCAAGTAGCATGCATGTAAGAAAGGAGACATGGTGTAAGGACTGCCCAAGCTGGGATGGAGGATGCACTTCGAGGTGGCTCGTTTAAGCATCGGGGTGAAAGTAAGAGGGACGAAGCAGAGGGGTCTGGATTCAGTAGGTCATCAGGAGCCAGTGCTGCTACCAGAGCAGGCAGGAATGTGGAAATGTGGAGCATGAGGACTTGAGAAGGCGGAACACTAAGAAGGGTCGCACGAACCCTATTCCAGTCCTGTTCTGCTCCTCACTTCCTGTGTGATGTTGGGCCCATCACTTCATCTCTCTTGGGCTCCCCATTTTTAAAAATGAGTTGTTAAGACTAAATGACCTCTAAACATGAGTGTGACAAGAAAGAGCACAATCTGCAACCAGGGAAGACCCACTGGCCAACTGCAGCAGTAATCCAAATGGGAGGTGAGATGTGTGCAGGTCCATAGAGTGCAGAGGAAAGCCCCTGTCTGAGAGAGGTTTGGAAGGCCACAAACCCTCACTGCTTCAGGAAACAATCCCGAGGGATTAGTGTGAAAAGGATATTTTGGGTATAGTTCATGGGCAAAATGTTTTTAAATTATTAGCACAGAAATATCTCATTGCTATTGAAAGGACTACTCAACATTAATGATAGTTTTGGCAATGTCATTATAACCAAATACCACCGAGGTCAGCATGGATGCATGTCTAGGTTATTGGAAATCATTCCGTTATTTAGTATAACCACACAGTTTGTGTATCATGTACAACATTATGGAATCAAAATGTGTAAGGGCTGTCCCATTCCCTTGCTGCTGATGGGTCAGATTAATAAGAACTGTCATCATTCACAGGACTTAGTTGCTTCAGTCTTGAAGGTTCCAGCTAACAAGGTCATGTGTCATGTCAAGCGTATGGGCGGGTCGTTCGGGGGGAAGACGTTAAAAACTGGCATCTTGGCAGCCATCACCGCATTTGCCGCTAACAAGTAAGTGAAGAAAATCTCCCAAATAGGTTAAAAATTAAATGAGGTTGTGCTGAATATTAGCGATATTGGAATTAAGGATGAAGACTCTGGGTCAAGATCATTTAAAATCACATATGACATAAACATATAATATAAACACAAACAAGCTACCAGCTTATTACAACTTTTTTATCTTATATAGTCAAACTACATACTGTAAGAACAAAAATGAGAATCAATTACTGAAAAGAATAAAAAACCCCAATGAAAATACTATAGTACCTGGAGAGTAGACAGAAACAGGTCCTGAAAGGGTGGAGGTTACCTGTCCTTGGAACACGTGTGTGTGTGTGTGTGTGTGTGTGTGTGTGTGTGTGTGTGTGTATTACCTTGATTTAAATGGAGATTTCTTTTGTTATGCTTACCTTTATTTTTACTACCATTTTCCTTCTAGAATCTCAAAATATTACCATAGGAAATTATCTTTGGAGCAGGTACACCCATAAGGCTTCATTTCTTAGCTCAGTAATATAGGTCAGTTCCTCAGTCCCCTGGTACAAAAAGACCTTTATTCCAGACCTATCTGGGAGCACTTGGCAATCAGCACTACCTGAGTTCCTCCATTCGTAGCCAGTCTATAATGTGGCATTTGGACTATCTGTCTATAGCAGAGGTTATCACAGTGGGAAATACCCACAAAGCAATACTCTGGAGACTCTGGCACCCATGAGCCTCTCCCATAAATGGCGAATGCCAGGCGTTGTGCCAAAGGGAAGGGAGGCCACTGAGTATGCCTGGGATTGACACAGCCTAGCCTCAGGGAGTAGTTCTGTTGTTCTGTAATGTGTGTGGATACTACTCAAGCTGTCACTACAGGTTACAGAAACCCCAGATAAGACTTACTTGGTCAAAGAGTTTACTTACATCTCTTTCTTTTTTTCTGTCTTAGACATGGCCGTGCAGTCCGCTGCATCCTGGAACGAGGAGAAGACATGTTAATCACTGGAGGTCGCCACCCTTATTTTGGAAAGTACAAAGTGAGTCGAAGGAGGACGGGGGAGGATTCATGTTGTAAACTTAACATTCCATAAATGCAGAGGGCGGCATTTGGCTACTCTCTAGTGGGGAATAACAAGGAGCAAATCAACAAACTGTGCTTCTGTTTAACTTTCTATTTCCTGTGCTAATTGATTACTGGCTGGTTCAATTAAGCTTTTCTGCTTTGCTCAAAAATGTCGGTTTGTGAAAAAGTGCTACTGGTATTAGCTGCTACAGACTGAATAACTGGAAAACATATGAGTAGATAGGTCCATGAAAGTAGATCTGATAACCATACTGTCCCACATATAAAAGAGGTAAAAATAGAATAATTCCTATAACAACATTGTTATGTGACATTATAATTATTTGACAACAGGCTCCTTATTTTTAAGTACACCAAGTGTATTTTTATAAAACTCTGTCCCAAAATTTCCTGGAAAATTTTCCATAGCTGAAAGTAATTATTCTTTTGCTTTCTAAGAAATAAGTTTACTTGTTAGAGTGGGCTAAAGACTCTAACAAACAACTAAAAACTCTCAGGGACTTAAACCTTTGTTATGTTAATTCTTGCTCAAGTAACAGTCCAATGTAATCTAGGGGGTGGGGGTGGGGGGATGAAGAGGAGAGGACTGCCCCACAGAATCATTCAGGGACTCAGGCTTTTTCCATCTTAGGGCATCATCATCTCTCTGGACTGCACTGTCAAATATGGAAGCTACTAGGTACATATGGCTATATTTAAATTTAAATTTACTAAATTAAATACAATTAAAAATTCAGTTTCACAGTTGTGTTAGCTATATTTCAAGTGCTCAATAATCACATTGGCTAGTGACTGCCATATTGGACATCCAGATATAGAACATCACAGAAGGTACTATTGGATAGTCCTGTCCTAGGTGCTCTGACTCACACTGGATCTTCTGCAGTGGGCAGCGGACAAGGGAAGAGAGGGAGCACAGAGTGTCATGTGGGTGATGTTTTAGGTACCAGGCTGTAAATGGTGAACCTCACTTCTATCCACCTATTATTATTGGCCACAACTTTGCCACCTATCTGCAAGGGAGGCTGGGAAATGTAGTCTTCCTGTGTGTCCAAGATGAAAGACAACAGGATTTGTTCAACACATAGCACGGCTTCCACCACAAGTGGTGTACCTGCATGCATATTTTTAGAAGATAATGAATGTATCTATTTCAATTCACATTCACCCTAGACTATTATTTGAATTTAGTTTAGTTCAACAAAGATTTATTAGAGTGAACTTTGTCCTGAAGGAGATGACATTTTAGTGGTTGAGGAGGAAATAAGGCTTACACATATGAAGTCATTATGAAAACATAATAATTTCAGGTTAAAAGATGAGTCATACATAGTAAAACTAGGGAGAGAGATGAACATAAGTTGGAGTGTTTACAGGAGACTTCTTAGAAAAGGTGAAACATAAATGACCTTCAAGAGTGAATAGGCAGAAAGAAGGCACACCAAGTAGTGGGAATAGAAAGAGCAGAAATGCAACGGTAAGATGAACATTGCATGTTTGATGGGGGCAGGAGTAAAGGGAGAAGGGAAATTAGAGCACAGAGTGGAAAATAAGATTGTTTGGGTTAGATGATGCCAGACTGAGAGGGGCCTAGGAATACCAGGATGGGGGTTTAAACTTGGCCTCATAAGAAAGAGTGAGACTGAGTAGATCCTTGAGCAGTCAAGTGTCATAACCAAACATGGGTACATTGGGGAGAGTGTTATCATGGCACTGGGCAGGATGGCCTAGGGAGGAGAGAGGATGGAGGCAGGTGGACCACCAGGAGGCAGCTGATGCATTCAAATATGAAGCACTTGGGGTCTGAGCTATGATAGTAGGATGTAGAAGAAGAGATGAGTCCAGGAGCCATTGTTAGAATTTGGTGACAAACTTGGCAAAATACAATGCAGAATAAAACCACACACATGACTTAGAGGTTTCTAGTAGAAAGAGCCAAGTTGGGGGAAGAAACCTACCTGGAGGGGCAGTGATGAGTTTGTTCATGTAAGCGTTGGGGAGGAAGTGACAACAGGACATTTATGTAGAAATGTCCTTCACCAATGAGACTTTATTGAAAGGACTGACATAGAAGCCATCAGCATAGTGGAGATTAAAACTATGAGAAAATAATGTTTTCTGACGGAGGGTAGTCTGAGAACAGAAGATATTAACATTTATAATAGTAATATCAATAATTTACAATTAGAGTACTTGCTATGTTTCAGTCACTTGCCTATGAGTTTCCATGCTTTACCTTACTTTACTGCCGTTTCACAGATAGTCAGGTTATAGAGCTTGCCTAAGATCACAGAGCAGGTTAGGCGGCAGAGCCAGGACTCAAACTCAAACTGCTGGAATTCATAGGCCATGCCCTTGACTGCTAACTACTTGGGTTTGAATTTGGTTCTATTCAACAAAAATCATTAAAGTGAACTTTAATAAGTTCAGGGATATTGAAAGGTGTGCAGACCGAAAAGAATAATATGGGATACATCTTAAAAGCATTAAAACATATTTATTTACAATACCTCCAACAGCACCAAATACTGCCAAGGAGCTTTAACTGAATTGGATCTTGTGAAAAAAATGTGCAGAGTACAGTATGAGCAGGTCACCAGATCTGAAGATTAGGAGATCAGTGGCTTTAGGGGAGAAGGTTTTGGTAGAAATGTGAGAGGATAGGAGGCAGAATTCAAGGACTGGTGGCAGGAACGAGAGGTTAAGAAATACTCAAAACAGTTGATTTGCTTTAGGAGGAGACAAAATGATTGATTGAACAGTTGTGATGGATTAAATAGGAGGGGGATATTTTGTTTGTTTTGCTTTCATTCTCTACCCTTGCTTTTTTTTTTCATTATTATTTTTAGTTGTGGCAAAATACACATAACATAAAATTTACTATCTTAACCATTTTTTAGTATACATTTTGGTGGCATGATGTATTCACATTATTATGTAATCATCACAAACCTCCATCTCTGGAATTCTTTTCATCTTGTAACTGAAACCCTGCACCCATTAAGCAACAGCCCTTCATTCCTTCCTCTGCCAAACAGCCCCTGGAAACCACCATTTTACTTTCTGTCTCTATGAATTTGACTACTCATATAAATGGAATCACATGATATTTGTCCTTTTGTGACTGGCCTCTGTCCCTTAACATAAAGTCCTCAGAGTTCATCCATATTGTAACACGTGTCAGAACTTTCTTCCTTTTTAAGGCTGAATAATATTCCATAGTATGTATATACTACATTTTGTTTATCCACTCATCCATTGATGGCTACTGCTACCCCTTGGCTATTGTGAATAATGCTGCTATGAACATAAGTGTACAAATATCTCTTTGAGACCCTGCATTAAATTCTTTTGGATCAATACCCAGATGTGAGATTGCTGGATCATATGGTAGTTTTGGTTTTAATTTTTTGAGGAACTGTCATGCTGTTTTCCCTAGCAGCTACACCGTTTTATATTCCCACCAATGGTGCACAAAGGTTCCAATTTCTCCACATTCTCACCAACATTTATTATTTTCTGTTTCTGTTTTTTTTATTATAGTAGCCATTCTAATGGACGTGAGGTGGTATCTTGTGGTTTCGATTTGTATTTCCCTAATGATTAGTGATGCTGAACACCTTTTCTTGTGCTTTTGGACATTTGTATATCTTCTTTGGAGAAATGTCTATTCAAGTACTATGTCCATTTTTTAATCGGTTGCTTATTCTTTTGTTGTTGTTGAGCTGAAGGAGTTCTTTATACATTTTGAATATTAACCCCTTAGCAGATATATAATTTGCAAATATTTTATCCCATTCTCTGGGTTGTCTTTTCACTCTGTTGATTGTGTCTTTTGATACATGAAAGTTTCAAATTTTGATGGAGTCCAATTTATCTATTCTGTTTTTTGTGACTTGTCTTTTGGTGTCATATCTAAGAAATCATTGCCAAATCCAATGCCATTAAGCTTTTTGGCTATGCTTAGAAGATTCACAAGTGAGAAAGCAAACCTTAGAGAGACTTGGCCCCAGCACTAGAATCAAAGATCAATCTCTTTCCCCAGGCTGGATTCATGAATGATGGCAGAATCGTGGCCCTGGAAATGGAGCATTATAGCAATGGAGGCAACACTCTGGATGAGTCATTACTTGTAAGTGTTTTAAGAAGCAAGTTCACATTCTGGAAAGTGTTGCATAAAATGATTTAATTCAGAAAATGTTCAATAGTTCAATAACATTTCATAATAAAAGCATAAAGGCCCTCATTGTAGGGATAACTATGTGTTCCTGGTGCCCCCAAAGTGAGCCCAAAGATATTGGCTAAGTCTGCATCTGTGCGTTGTCTCCATGTTGTCTGTGCTTACAGCTCTTTTCCCACGTGTAAGCATTAGACACAACCTCAGCCCTATTGACATTTTGAACCGGATAATTCTTTGTTATGGGGGCTGTGCTATGCATTGTAGGATATTTAGCAGCATTCTTGGCCTCTACCCAGCGGATGTCAGTGACATAACCCTCCAGTCTTAACCAAAAATGTCTCAAACATTGCCAAATGTCCCAGAGGCAAAGAGGGCAAAATTGCCCCTGGTTGAGAACCAATGTATTAGACCAAATGACAAAACATTTTTTTTTCTGTGTTCTAGTATATTATATTCATTACATTTGGTAGATTCAAAGTTTGGGGCCTATGAATGCTTCAAAGGCTATTAGAAATGCTTGAAACCTGGAAAAAATGCATTAGCTTTAAAATGTGAAAATAAAAAATGATTTCAAAAGGAAAATTATTCAAATCCTTAAATATTTTATAGTAAAAATACGTTTAATTTGAGATATGGGTCTATTTTAGCATGTTTGATGCGATGCAGAGAGGGGGCAGTCCCTTCTGGCCTGGTTTTAGTCTGAAGTCTCAGGATGGGAATACAGGCACAGAAGGACGAGGGTCTCATCACATCAACTCTGGATTTCCCCAGGTGTTAGAAACGGGAATTCTGAAACTGGATAATGCTTACAAGATCCCCAACCTGCGCTGCCGGGCGTGGGTGTGCAGAACCAACCTTCCATCCAACACGGCTTTCCGTGGGTTTGGCTTTCCTCAGTCAGGATTGATCACCGAATACTGTATCACGGAAATTGCAGCCAAATGTGGATTGTCCCCTGAGAAGGTAACAGTAAATTAGTCTCATATACAAAAGATATAGCATTTTAGAGGTGGGAGGGCCAGTGGGGGTCATTCATGTTGAGGAGTTTGAGATCCATAGGGCCTTAATGATGTGCCCGAAGTAATCCAGTGAACTATATAGTTAATATAGAGCCGGGACTCCAAAGCTCAGTGATCCTTGTCTTACTCAGGCTCCTTCTCAAAAATCCTGGTGACACGAAGATATTGAAGAGTGAGCAGAGGATTCTAACTTGTTTAGTGAGAGTCTCCATTGGTTGGGGGAATACCTGCTACCAACAAGTTCTGTCACACCCCTCTTTCCCCTGCTTCCTTAACACCTCAGGCAGCTGTCCTCAAGTTGCTGTCAGTTTAGTCACTAACAGTCTCCTTTCAGTTAAGCCTCAGTCCCAACTTCATCATTAACAAGCTCTGTTCCCTTCCTGTGTCTCTTCCCCCTAGGACCCTGTGGTGGAGTTAGGGTGGGGGGATTCTGTGCTGTCTCACCCCTTCTCCTCCGCTGTGCCTTCTGCTGTAGTGTTGGGAGGAAGAGGAGGACCAGAGGAAACAGACAGCATCTCCCCATGTGACTTTTCTAGTGAGCCCTCTGGCATCCACTTGGTTAGATGTAGCCACTTTTCAAGTATGTTGTCTATGGGCTCCATTTCTGCCAGCGCTCTCAGAAGTTAGCAGTCCCCTGTAAGGGGGGTTAAATCTCCAACTGACCCTCCACCGGCACCTCATGCAGCGGTCCCCTTTTGTCCACACCTCTTTGCCCCATGCTGCGGGGCCGTCCATGGAAAGCCCCAGTCCCCAATTCATCTACCTTCTCTCCCCTCAGCATGAAAATCTGTGGCCACAGGCAGGAGCCGTCTTCTTTGTCTCTTGAACTTGTGGGTGGTCCTTGTGCCTGCCTTCCTGGCCACCTGGCCACCTCGCCACAGCCTCTCTCCCAGATGCTCAGTCACATTTGGTAGCACTAGGAAGAAGAGTCAGACGATGACCTCCTTTCATTTCCAGGGAAGTTGGAGGAGAGAATAGCTACCCTTAAAAACACCTCCTTCCTCAAAATGGCACAGCTTACTGATTTCCAGTCATCTTTTCATAATGACCTGGGGATTGTAGTTTCAGGTGGGTGAGGAGAGTATATGTCTGTAATGGCCCCTGTCAGCTTGAGGAAATGTGCTGCCCTCACCTGCTGAGTTTTCTCAAGTGAGAATGTGAGGTATTTGACCTTTTGTTCTCAGCTGGGGACCTCAGCTGCCAATGCTGGGAATACAGGAAGAATTCTATTCTACTCAGCACTTCAGACATCCTGGGTTGGAATCTTTTCATTTGTTTTTCATCCTACTTATCTGTTATATTTAAACACAGTTTCATTTTTTCCTGTTTGGAAGTAAGTGATCTTATCTTGCCACAGCATCCGAATAATCCAAATTGTGCAGCCTGGAAATTAAATTCAGGATTACCTCTCAATAGTATTCACAAAGACATGTAGAATTAAGAGTCTACCGTGTACCTTAACTGTGTTGAGTCATACAAGAAACATGAGGAAAGGATTCCTTCCATTGAACTTATACAAGAGCAGCATGAAAAGCATGTCAGTATGAACATTTGACAGAGGCTCCCAGTAAAAGAGAGTGTATGTATTGGGGAAGGCTTCCACAAAAAGTTGAACTTGGTTTGGGACTCACAGGATGAACAAATTTTGACTAGGACAGTGGATGGGAAGAGACTGTCTGCTGAGTCCCCCCAACACCCTTTTCATTTCCTTTTCTTTTCTAGGTCCGAAAGATAAACATGTACAAGGAAATTGATCAAATACCCTGCAAACAAGAGATTAATCCCAAGAACCTGATCCAGTGTTGGGAAGAATGTATGGCCATGTCTTCCTACTCTCTGAGGAAAGCGGCCGTGGAAAAATTCAACTCAGAGAACTATTGGAAGAAGAAGGGGCTGGCCGTGGTCCCCGTGAAGTATCCCGTTGGCCTTGGCTTACGCGTCCTTGGTCAGGTCAGTTCTCTAAACAGACAAGTCAAAAGGTGTTTAGGGTACTTGCCAGGAAGGTGAATTAGCCATATGGTTGCAATACCTGATTGTTCAACTTCACTAAAGTTGTGCCCAGTCAAACTAGCTTTTCTTCAGAGGAGACAAGAGCTGCTTTGCCCACATCCCCAGGATGGCTGACAAGCATCCTTCCTGAGAAATTAGGAGACCCAGCATCTACTCCTGTCCCTGGCATTAAGCAGATGAGTCAACTCACTTTGGGCCCCAAATTGCTCAAGTCTAAAGTAAGAGGGAGGGACCGATGGCCACCAAGACCCCTCTTCCAGCTACTGTATGATTCTGTGTTCCTGGAACGTGACATAGAAATGGGAGGCTACCAGGCATTTGCAGGTGCCCCTCCCCTTTTTGGTGGGTTTGGGTAAACTAAATCCAGAAGAGTAAATCATGTAAATAATTTTGTAACACACAATTTTAGGAGCTTGTTAAAAGTGAAAAGGGGAAACTTGAAATCTGTTCTTGCAGTTTGATTTCTTTAATTAATTAAAGAAATTTCCTAATTGGTTGCTAAATCCTACTTGCTGTTTCTACCTCTTCATTCTTGAATGAAACTTAACCCTGAACAGCTAGTGAAGGACTGCTCTCTTCTAGCTCCTTGTACAGCAGTGAAATGGGACCTCTATGATCTACATTCGTTCTTCCATATATGTATTCCATATATGTATTTTATATATGTATGTGTGTGTGTGTGTGTGAATAAGATGGCAGAGCCCTCAAAATGGTTGCCACTATGTTTTGTAGAATTCACACCTTCGGCTGAGCCATGATGAAGGTGTGGCAGGTGTGTTGAGTCATGACAGAATAAGGATAAATGGGGGTGAAGCTGTGAGGGGCATTAGTGTGTAAGCTAGGTGTTGAGGGAGCAGAGGAAGCCAGGAAAAGCAGCTATGAAAGTCCACCCCTCATTCCGATAGCCATGCTGTCACCTAACCATCCTGGTTCAGTTTGGTGTAATCATTAGTACATTTTCATACAGTTACAAGAATTGCAGGAGAAATTAGCTCAAAGGAGAATTTTAACAATACAAGTGGTGATCTTATTGTAGCCTTCCCATCCCTTGCCTGTTTATCATGGCAAAAACAACACAAAACCATTTAGTCATCTGCACACAATTTACCCAGATGAGGGAGACAGTCAAGAGGCTGTAGTTGAGGAATAAAGGCAAAAATAGGGTTATTCAAAAGGGAGAAAGAGGGGGGAAAAGTACAACTAGAAAAAGGATAGTATACAGTTTTGGGGTAAAGTGATTCGCTGGCAGCTAGCAAAGGGGTTGGTCTAGGCCATCTGTCCTTGAGCACACTGGCCAGGCTCATGGGAAAAACAATCTCCACTGTTAATGGATCATCTGGAAATTCCTGGGCCTTAGGGTGTGGTAGACACGGCAGCTGTCTCTATTTAATGGTTGCCATTACTTAAAATCTGGCCTCCAGTAGACCAAGTCTGTCCCATTTCCTTCATCGGAAATTTCTCAAAAAGTAGATAAAAAATAACGATGATTACTGAGCACCTACTATGTTATACGTTCTTTTAGATTTTATCTAATTCAACCCTCAGGGCAGCCTAGAACATTTGTAGGCATATCTTAGTTTGAGAAACTAAGGCTGGAGAGCTTAAATAACTTGCCTTCAAGTCCCATAGCTGGTGAAAGGAGGGGTTGGGGCTAGAACTCAGTTGTGAGGGTCCCCAGAAGCCGTGCTTTCTCAACTACATCAAGCTACACATTCGTGGAGCCTTTCAGTAGGGACTGAGGCCGGATCCAGCTCACCTGGGAAGAAACCAGACAATAGCCAGCAAAACTTCATTCTCAAAGACTACTGAGAAGCTCCCCCCATACCACTCCCTTCCACCCTCCCCCAGGAACTAACTAGCTTCTGTGCTTCAAACATTTGCTTAGAGCTGAATCAAGGACTTTGAGATTGATCATGCCGCTTCCTGGATGCCATCTGCTGAGAGACTATTCTGATGCAAACCAAATAGAGGAGGGAACTAGAAATCATATTTGAGCACCTTCTGTGCGTAAGGCCCTAGGCTGGGTGATGTGTAATTTCCCACTTGATTGAGCCCCTATCTGTTGGGTAGGTGTGATTCTGTTTTATAGAAGGGAAAACAGAAGCCCATAGAGGTCTGCTCTCTTGCAAAAGACATCCAGCTAGTGAACGACAAAACAAGGATTTGACTTCAGGGCAGTCTGGACACAAACCCTGTGTGCATTTATCATTCCACGCTGCTTCCCTGAGCAGAAGGAGCCCCTGAGCTCCCAACAGCTGAGGGATCAAACATACCTCACCTGCGTTATACTTAATTCCTAAACTGTGAACACTGAAGGAGATGCAGTATCTACAAAATTAACCTCTGTATCCCCAGTGTCTTAGTATGTATGGAACCAGGCACAGAGTAGAAACTCAAATGTTTGAATGGCTGAGACATTTTGGGAATCTGTGTCACCAAAGCAAGCTTCTCACCACAACCAGCAGTCCTTGCTTGGAGATTTAAATTTCACAGACTGAGTCCCCAGTTTATTATCGGAGAGCCATCTGTTCTGATGCTCCAGTTGTTCCGATTTTGTAGATGAAGCTTTGTGGAATTATCTTTTGTGGTGCTAACAATGAACCATCCGGTGGTGCCACTTAACTGAACCCCATTTGACATTTTGAATGGCTCGAGGAGATGGCAGCAGCACATGGAACAAATTACTCAGCAGTCTCTGCTAGAAAGGCTGCTCTGGACACGCAGGCAGAGTGTCGCTGCCAGCAGGGCCACACAATGTAAGAAATGCACAATCCACTGTAATTGTTGCTCAATTATATATGCCAGCTACATATTTAACTCACAAGCAACTTCTGAAAAAAACGCTTGCTGAGCCAAGGAGACCAAATACAGAGTCTACAAGCTTAAGAAACAGATTGAATGGCTATGCTGTTGCAAATTCATCTATCAAACTTTTATTGAGCACTTACTATGTGTAAGATACTATGTTGCATTCCAAGGGATGTTGCCTGAGGAAATAGTCCTTCCTTTGAGGGGGCTCACATTCTAGCAGGGTGCAATGAAGTGCCATAGAATGGAGCCCAGAAGCAACCACTGCCACTGGCATCAGCTGGCATCTGATGTGCCGCCCCAGGGCAGCCATCTCTGGAATCTGTAGAGGATGCCACTCCTTATCTTTTGAGAATAAATGGTCAAGAGCACAAGACAGTGTTTCCAGGAGTGATGTGTCCACAGACGGTAAAACACACTCAACTACACATCTTCCCAAGGCCTTTGAGCTGATTGTTATTCTCAAGGTTCTAAAAACCTCCCTTGGCCTGTGAATATCTGTGCCTTTGTCCTTGGAGAAAGGGAATCCCTATATCCCTATTTTCCTAATACATTCCTAGTTTACACCTGCTGACCACGTAAATAGAGCCCATTTTCACTGTCAAAAGCATCTCATTTGAAATGATAGAGGTTTCAGCTTGTCATTTGCTGGAGTAATGTAAACTTTTGGGCACCAATAAAGAAGCAAGTCTCCAGGTGTAGCCCATGGCCCACAGGAGACCATGGTGTTCCTTCTGGTGGGCCAAGAATCCAGCTAGGAATGCAGTCCTTTCCTTGGGTATATCTGGTAATTGACATGCAGCTCCATCGACTTTCACTTCTTACCAGGGTTGTTTATAAGTAATCTCAGTGAGTAATAAAGGCTTACTAAAATTTTAGCTTTATTAAATGGAAATTGGCTTATTACCAGAATTTCTGAAGACCCTGTTACAAATGCTGGTGAATTATGCCACTCCGTATCAAAATGTAGATGATAAGAAACCTAGCCGACAGCTTAATGAGCCCCGGCTGGCCCAGACCACCTCTATGGTGTCGGCACTGCCGAGCCGAGCAGCTGTGAAGCTGTGCCTTGCAGGCATTCCAGAACCGCTGTGTTAGAAGCATTTTCTTCAGACCGTGTGCTGTTAATATTGCTCTTACACTGGAGGCTCAAAGTAAAGAAGCCACCCTTGTTTTCCACAGCTTCCTGAGATATCTCCATACCCACTAGTTTAGCATGAGCTGACTTGCAATATGACATGTTCTTGTGAATTGTAAAAACATGTTTAGCTTAGAGTTGGAATGTTTCTGATTACAGCAGCCCTTAATTCTGTGAGCTGTTTGGTTCCTTCTGGGTCCTCGTGGGGAGCTAGCTGTACAGTTACATAAGATTACTTCCAAGTTCCCTTCCAACTAAAGCTCTGTAATTCTGTGCCAAGATGATTTAGAATGGGCTTAGCTCCTTTTGCAGCAAAAAAAAATAATAAAATTAATGTCTGTTTCATATTACTTGGCTTCTCATCTTTGCTTCTCTATAACACACCCACAATTATGGGAATATGTGTTCACAGAAACAAGTCTGCCTGTTCCCTAAACTATTTACTCTAAACTTTGCATGTTAAAACTGATGCCCACCCTCCCCCCTCCAAAAAAAGACCCCAAACCTGAAGTGTTGTTCCACCCATGGCAGGGGATCCTTGAAGGTACCAGTGCGTTCACATGTCCTAATGAGGAAATAGTAGCTTACGGAGCATAGTCCTGCCCCAGACTCAGCGCTATCCAGTGACAATCTGGCCTCTTGCGGGTGGCCATGGAATGGCCCCGCATTGCCTTGTCTCTGCTCAGCGCCCGCAGGGCAACGGGAAAAGTGTCTATGCATATTTTGGCAGGAGATGGAAAGGAGGGGATCATTTCCAGGGAAAATGTTTTAATTGACAAGACATGATAATATTAGTCCAAAAGATCATGGAAACGGTTTTCATCTTTTGTGCTTAGGCTGCTGCCCTCGTTCACATTTATCTAGATGGATCTGTGCTGGTGACTCACGGTGGAATTGAAATGGGTCAGGGGGTCCACACTAAAATGATTCAGGTAAGAATGCAAATACTTGGACGAAGTTGGATGTGTGCTTATAGATCTGGGTACGAGGGAGAAACTACGATTGTACAACATAAGCAGGCTAGGAGACTGCAGCTTGGACCACTTAAACTGTTAAGCTAGTAGCAGAAACTGAGTCGACAAGCTAGTTTGTAACCGTCCTTAAACGAATGTGGCAGGAGAGTCTGTCTTATTGCTGAACAAGGTTGTGTGGTTATTTGCTTCTTTCCTTTGGATGCATTAACAAGTTGTCTTTTTTGATCTGTTGCTGGGCAACAAAAAGATATGTAAATTCTGATGTACTGCATTATTTCTTGCTTTTTTTTATAGTAAGGGCTCTGAACAATTGATAATGTAAATCACGTTTGATATTTCTAACCGAACTTTGCCAGTTTTCTTTTGGCTTATTTACTTTAGATTAATTTTTAGCTACTGTTTCTATTTTGCTAATCATATTAGTAACAATATAGATTATAAAACATTTGTAAGAGGCAAATAATTTTTTTAAGACGACCCTACACAATTCCACCACTTAGCAATAATCACTGTTTCGGGTTCTTTCCATCTCGACTCTTTCTTTTTCCAAAAGATTGCCAACATGCTGTTATATAATTTTGTCTTCTGTTTTTCTCACCTATTCTTATATAGAGTGAACACTTCTTCCTGTCATTAAGAATTCTTTGCAATAGTGATTCGTAATGGCTGCATGTTGATACGTATAATTTATTTAACCTTCCCCAATCGTTGAACATGTCAATGAATATTTTTACATAAATCTGTGATCAAATCAATGAATATTTTCTTAAAATAGATTCCCAGAAATGGAATTACTGGTCACAGAGTGTATCTTAAATCGTTTGGCACATATTACCAAATCGTTTTTCAGAAAGTAACCATCTCATTACACTACTTATTACACTATATTGTATGTTATGGATTGTTTTAAAATCTTCGAAAAATTGATAGGTGAATGATTGTACCTCATTATGGCTTTCATTTGCATTTTTCTGATTAGAGAGATGTTGAATATATATTTTCTTTCATGTTCTCAGTCACTTGAGAATTCTTGGGTCCTATCTCCCCATTTCAGGGGTGAAACATCAGTGTTGTCCTTACTGGGCCCCCAGAGACCTTTATGCTCTAAGCCTGTGCATTTTGTGTAGACAATCTTCTGAAAGCTGATGATACAGACGGACTCCGTATGCCCATGTCCTTGTCACAGCGATGAGCAAACTGTATTAAGACAGACTGCTTGCAGGAAAGAGACTTTTGGAGGAGCTGAAGTTAGTAACATGATTTTGCTTCCCAGCACTAAAAACAAAGGAAGAGCAAAGCAGCCAGTTCAGTGCTCACATTGGCCAGCGGCACTGGCACCATCTCCTTCTGTGATGTCGTGTTGGTGCTGCTTTAACAAGCCATTGTCCTTTCTCACAACCAGCACTCTTGTCCTAGAGCATCTCCAGAAATGTGGCTAAGGTACCTCTTCTCTGACGAGGTCAAGTTTGCTAGAATTTTACAGTGTGAGGTAGAAGAGGCCTCAGAGGTGTTGACTTCATGACAATAAAGCCACAAAGCATTTCTTTCTGCTTCGGCGTGGGGCCTTGTTTCCTCTACCTGATGCTCAGAAAGTCAAAGAAAAGGGAAGTGTGCTCAGGGCTCAGGGTCCAGGCCAGCTACAGGGTTTTTAGCAGGAGGACCATTTTGTGGCTGGGAGAATGCGTGACTCTGCCCACTAGCCCCTAGTACACACGAGGGCTTCACACTCGTGCTGCCATGTGGGCATGTGCATGGGTCTGTGACTAACCAAAGTCTGGGGAAAAAACAAAACCAAAACTCTCTTCTAAAATTCAGGTGGTCAGTCGTGAATTAAAGATGCCATTGTCCAGTGTGCACCTACGTGGAACAAGCACAGAAACCGTCCCTAATACGAACTTCTCTGGCGGTTCTCTGACGGCAGACCTGAACGGGTTGGCAATAAAGGTAAGAATCATTGCAGTGGCGGCCAAATCACTCACCCCGTCAGGACAAAATGCGTGGGTGGCGCTCAGAAGATGCCGAGAATTAATCCAGCTCTCACCTCCTCCCCACACCCTCTCAGGGAAAGCTGCCCTTCCCCAGTCTCCTCAGTCAGAGGTACAACACTCAGCTGCTCACCTGGCTGAAATATCCACCTTTTTTTTCTCCCTCATTCCTGACAGCTCCCTGGTCAGCTAGTCCTTTCAATTCTACTCAGAAATGTCTCTGTGTCATTCCACCTCCATGTTGCAGTAATATATATGGCTGCTGTGATTCAGATGTGCACCTGCTGCCAGCGCCATTGCAAGGCTGTCTCTTTACCCCAGTTCCGTTGTTCATGCTGACTTCATGTGGCCAGAGCAGGCTTTCCCCCAAAACAAATCTGACCATGCTGTGATTAAAAAACAGTGGCCAGTGGCTTGCCAACAGTTTTTCTGTTCAGTCCTGACCTCTTAGCATGGCTCACAAGGCCCCCATCCTAACTGGTCACGCCTCAGTCCCATCCCCATTGAACCCGTCATGTCACTTCTTACAGAGTCGGTCTCTTCCTTGTCCATGTTCCTTGGGCCTCTTGAATATGTCTATGTAATGGCACATATCGTGTGGTTTTGGAATTGGTGTTTGTGTGAAATTACGGTTATAATTGTAATTTTAAAAATAACCCCTAGGATGCTTGTCAAACTCTCCTAAAGCGCCTTGAACCCATCATCAGCAAGAATCCGCAAGGCACTTGGAAGGACTGGGTGAGAATCACTATTACTTTGTGTTTTCTGTTTGGGGAGAAAAAAAAAAGGGAAGAGGGAGAGTGAGATATATGTGTGAATTAAATATCAGTAGAAAGGGCACTTTAGCAGGTACTGTAGTTACATAGTGATAAATAGAGGCCCTTTGGCTCTGGCATTTGGAAATCTTATCATAGTATGATGGAGGCGCTCTTACAGCTGGGAAAATCCTCTATTAGAGAAAAAAAGTTCTTCTGTCCAAGATTCTTGTTTTAAGCAAGAATTAGTTAATGTGTTCTTCCTATGGAACTTAGGTATTTTCTAGATGATAGCTGTAAATCTGTTTATTCTCCCTCTTTGGGTTCCACTGTTCCTAAAATGGGAAGAAAACACTAGAACCCTTCTATGAAACTAAAAATCATGTAAGCACTTATTTAGAAATAAGAAAGCAAGCCATTGAGTATATATTCAACCAATAACAGGCACCAAATGGAATGGAAATATTCAACTGCTTCCTTTGACCTACTCATGATCTAGTTGGAAGAGAAGACACACGTTCTAAAGTCAACTAGCAAATTTTTCAGAGTCATAGGTTCTAAAGTATCAGACCATATGGAATGGATACCAGTAAAGGCTGGGAATACGTGTCATGCCGACGGTTCTAGAATGTCACATTAAAAGCATTAGTCGAGAGGAAATAATATTTGGGAAGTCTCGCTTAAAAATGGTCCCCGCTGTTCCGTAGAGTTAGGATTTATTCCGTAATCCACATTTATGGGAGCGCCCGATCTTTCCTGGGTATACTTTTTTCTGCCCTCTGCCCTGTGCTTCCCGGGCCCAGGAAGGCTGAGAGAATCTGGTTGGGAAAAGCTAGGGTGAGCTGCAGTGCGAGAGAGTCAGTCAGTCCCCCACCATCATGAAATGCTGCCAGTCAGCCCACTTTCTTCTGTCATGGTTGCACTTCTCAGCTTTTTCTTTCTCAAACTTGGGGACTTGGACCTGACCCCCATTGTTCTATTTATTAGTTAACTGTGTGCACTGAAGAGTCAAGAGAACTTTGGGTTCAAAGGGTACAATGTAGCAAAATTATACTCCTCTCCTAAGACTGTTATGGATACATGATATTCAAGTTAAACAACCAACCACCCATGTCTTTCTGAAATGTTCTATGTTAATAGGCCTAGTCTTTCCAGATGACTGAGTGAGAGCCTTCGTAAGCAGAATTGCGTTGCCCACCATAGTCCAGACTATAAGTGTAACACACCCTGGCGTCATTTATTATGGTAACATGCATTTCAGCAAATAAATGCTGTTGCTACAAGCAGTGATCCACAATTGCCTGTGGAGATGGAGAACGCCGAAAGGAACAAATTAATCTTGGTCCTTGCTAGTTATTACTAGGAAGTTATGACTAGTTATTGCTACTGTTATAGTTATTACAAATTACTACTATTTATTTAACATATAGTAAAATTAAAATCGAAGTTTCAAGTGATTCTTATTTTAAATATTCTTACTATATCATGTGATACTCTTCTTTCACAGGCACAGGCTGCTTTTGATGAAAGCATTCCTCTCTCAGCTACTGGATACTTCAGGTAGATAGTCCTCTCAGTCGCATGCTATGGAAAATAGCTGTGGTGTCTTGGGGAAGAGTTTCATTTCTGTTTGCAATTTTGGCAAAAATTAATTTTGTACTTTCTATTAACCCGCTGTTATAAAGCACATTTAGCTGCTACTTAATCCAAATGTCCAGAAAGGCTTTTGTTGGGAAAAAAAAAATAGGCGGGAAAGTAAATACATCTGAACTGATTATTCAGATCATACTGGGTAATTCTAGAGGGTTCTCTGGGGGTAAGTACAGAGCACGAACAGGAACCCATAGCAGCAGTTGACCTTTTGTTGAAAACACAGTGTATCCCTTAAGTTAAAAAACAAAGGTAAGGAAATGCAAATTAAACCCATAATAAGATAAACACCATTTATACTTTCTAGACTGGCCAAAAATAAGAAATTTGACGATAACTATTTGGTGTCAAGATGTGGGACAACCAGAACTCACATACTTTGGAAAGCAATTTGTCTAATTATTTTCATGGAGGGTGAAAGCCATCAGAGAGCAGGGTGATACAGAAAGTATTCCCTGATATTGACACTTTGCTAGTCGTCATGGAGGTCCCAGGGCATTGGCTGGCTGTGAGGAATAATCGCTGGAAGCATTTTTAATGGCCACCTCTGGGCTGGGGGGAGAGCAGAGGAGAAAAGCGTAGATAGTGCTCGTAAGCTGCTGGCCTGTGCTTGTTTTTCATTTGGTGTCTTTCCAGAGGAGTTGGGAACACAGCAGCCCCTGGAGCCTGAGGAGGGGAGATCAGAGAAGTCACAAAGCCCCAGCGCCAGGGGGCCTGATCTCTCATACAGGAGGCTGAATCCTAGAGGCAGAAAGACAAATAAACAGGCCAGTGTGGACCTTTGAAGTAGTGTTTGGTATAAAATGCAGGTGGAAGTCCCCAGATCTATGACAATAGGATTACATGAGCCAATATTAGCCCAGAGCAATCGATGGATAATCATACAGTCAGCAGTTAACCTCCAGGCACAAGGAATCATTGGTAGGGAGCAATTAGATGTTTTTATCAGACAAAGCAAGTTTAGTAAGAAAGAAGTAAACATTTATTCAACACATGTATTGCATTATTATGTGCTGGCACATCATTGTACATGGTTTGCGGTGCATACAAATCGAGCACATCTCCTAACAGGCCTGTTTAACCATCACAGTCTGCAATTAGGAGATGATCTCATAGCAAGACTCCTCAATAATTCTGTTTTCTCCAGGGGTTATGAAGCAGACATGAACTGGGAGACAGGCGAAGGCCATCCTTTCGAATACTTTGTTTTTGGAGCTGTCTGTTCCGAGGTTGAAATAGATTGCCTGACAGGTGCTCATAAGGTCAGTACCAGTTGGAAGGGTCTTCGCGTTGCATTCATAGATACACTTAAATTCCACATATTCCATCTGTGTGAGCACAATGGAAGCACCATGGATTCGGCCTAAGGATAATTTCTCTGTGTTACCAGAAGGACATAGAAGCTCAGGAATTGCCTCAGTGCTGTGGTTGCTTCCATGGAAAACGACCAGTGGCCTCTCTTCTCTATTTCCCTGGCTCTTTTCAATGGAATCAGGAAAGGAACCACCTCAAGGAAATAACACAGCATGAAGGGTGTTGGCACAACCGACAATCTGAACTGCCTATGTGAAATGTCACCCTGTGACATTCTTGAAGGGTTTCATAAGCATCCACAACCTGCTAACAAGACAGAGCCACAGTCTTTTATAACCTAATATTGGGGTGACAAATGATCACTTCTGGCATATCCTATCCGTCACATAAACCAACCTTGGTAAAGTGTAGGAGGGCTACATAAGGCTTCAGTCTCATGGTACCAGGAGGTGAGGCTCATTGAGGACCACCTTGGAGGCTGACAACTCCAACCTAAAACCACTCTCTCCAGCCCTATCAAAAAACAATGAGAAACAGTAGTAAATCCACAAGTTTTAAAGCAAAACCTTCCAGTTGAGGCCAGTTGTCTTGTGGAAGGCCAGCCTTGCTAACTGGTGTCGAAGAGAACTTTACATTTCATTGTGTCTTTAAATAAGAGAGCTAAAGTAATAGAACATCCTGGATCACTAATTTTCATTAGAAAAATGTTAGATGAAAGTCCTCATCAAAGAAGACACTCTTGGGTTTCCTTTGGTCCATTAATAATTATAAATGGAATCTGTTTGTCATGGCTATTCTGAGACCATTAATATCACATCAAAGAACATACGGACCTGCTGGAGAGCAAAGGTGTTTCCACCAGCCTGGCTAGGCCTGCTGGGCTCCTCCTCATTTGTAGGTTATCAGAGAACTTTTGGTCCCCAAGTTGTAATGTTAGATTTATTCTCTCTTCTACTCTAAAAACAAACAAAAAACTAGAACAGTGAATAACAACTGAAAGACTTTTGCTGTTGCACACAAATTCTGTGGTTCAATAAATATCACGTGGCCAGTTGGACTCTGGATGTTGGGTTGTGTGGTAGCCACAAAGTTTTGCAACAAGGATCACAGGGGCCATAGCCGTTTTCTGTTTCCTGTGTCATATCTTCTGTCTGTTGCAGTGGATAAAACTCTGTGTTACATCACTCAGCTGGAATCAAAGTCAAGTAAACATTTTTTCTCCTAGTGTTTCCAGTAAAAACTGGCCATTGCTTAAGCTGATTAAGAGTGTTTGTATAACTCTGAAATTTAAACATAATACACTTTGCAACATAATAACATATTGTTTCTTTCTCCTGAAATAGAATGTGGCCCAAAGAAAGGTTCTGTACCAACACCTCCTGTCAGGAGCTGTTTCTCAGTTTTTTCTCCCTAAGTTGTATTCATCACAATAAACATTGTCACTTTTTTTTTATTACTAGAATATCAGAACAGACATTGTCATGGATATTGGCTTCAGTATAAATCCAGCCCTTGACAGAGGCCAGGTATGTGTAACTGATTTGCCTTGCTTCCTGTTTGTAAAAGCCAGAACTGCTGTGGGGACCTGCAGGGACAACATTCCATTCAGCTTATTTATCATGCTAGTTTTCTACCCCGTTAGTCAGAACCGTTCCATGCAGGCCAGCTGCAGAACTGAAACCTCTTCCTGTTTAAAAGAGGGACAGAAACAAAGGTGTTTTAGGTCGTTTTTGAAGAAACATACAGCCACGTACCTGGGGAGCTTGAATGAGGCAGGACTACGTTTAGAGGTGACAGAATGAGCCCCATACGCCTGAGAAGAAGTGGAATGTAGTGCCAAGTGCTGAGCCCTGGGCATTACGCCAGGCTGTAGTTTTAAGAAGTTTGAAGTCGAGCTGGGATAATAAACATCAATAACTGCAGCAGTAGTGATTGGTAGTCGCTTATTTTGCCCACAGACTTTTTAAATTTAAATTTGAAATAATTGACGTGATTGAAAATATCGCAAGCTGTTCTACATAAATATTCAAATGTCTAGCACATCCAGGAGCTAGAGCATTTTAAAGCTGCCCAGGAAGCATAGAGAACACACAGTCCAAACCCCTTATGTTACAAGCGAGGAAACTGAGTCCAGAGATGTGAGGCCAGCCAGCTCGGAGCGAGGATGGTCTGATGAGATGAGGGGATTCTAAAGCCCGAGAGGCTTTTCTTGTGTCCCGGGGTCTGTGGACACACCAGGCAGCGTGCGTTTCGTCTGCCTCACAGGAAGGAAAAGGAGAGCATTTGGGCTACGGGCTCTGTGCAGCCTCTTCTAGAGCTGCAATTCTAAGGCCAAGCTGAGATTCACACTGAAGGCCTTCGACTTTGAATTTAGTGCCCGAGAAGATGTTTAGAAATGCTTTTAGGTAAATTTCTAAGGAAACTTTCAGAGACATGCTCCAAGACATGCTGAAAACCCTCTCAACACAGTATTTTAAAAATTCAGACAAACAGCATGAAGTTGAAATGCTACTATTGACTGTGTGTTTCTCACATATGGAAATTCTAATTTTTTTTTTTTGCCTCAGATTGAAGGCGCATTTATTCAAGGCATGGGACTTTATACAACCGAGGAGCTGAATTATTCTCCTCAGGGTGTCCTGTACACTCGTGGTCCAGACCAGTATAAAATCCCCTCCATCTGTGACGTCCCTGCAGAGCTATACATCTCTTTGTTGCCTCCATCAGAAAACGCGAACACCCTGTATTCATCAAAGGTAAGCTGTACTCCACGAATGAATGCATGCTTGTGTGATACCTGTGCAGGGAGGGAGGGGCTACATTCATTTCTTGGTTTGTTGTTGTTGTGGGGGGGGGGTACCAGGATTATAGGGAAGAAAGCCCATTAAACATTTTAATTGTAAAATAATTTATTATAATTTAAAAAAAATACTCTGCATCTTGGAGCCTAACACAAGCTACTCTTGCCATCAGGTTACATCTGATTTTTCGTCTTGCAATAATCATCTTCTTGCCTCTATCTCCTTTCTCCATTTGGGATCATTTCCTTAGGCTGGAATCCTAAGACTGAGAATACTGGATTTAAATAATAGATTACTTTTTTAAAAGGAAGAGTCACATATATTTAATATTTTTTATATACGCACATATGTATCTGTAGATGCACATACACATATACACAGAGAGAAAGAGCCATAACCTAGTTGACTTGTCTCCCCTCAAGGGTCTGGGAGAGTCTGGGATGTTCCTGGGGTGTTCGGTGTTTTTCGCCATCTATGACGCCGTGAACGCCGCACGACAGGAGAGACATCTGTTTGGACCTTTGAAGCTCAATAGTCCACTGACCCCGGAGAAGATTAGAATGGCCTGTGAAGATCAGTTCACAAAAATGGTATGTTCTGTTCATACAATCCTGAGCCTTTGTCCCCTGTCCTTGTGGTCAAGTTTCCTGAACCCACCATGGTGGTTTTCCATGGAAGAAAGGTGACGGGAGTCCCAAGGGCATTTGAGCAGGAAAAGAGCAGGGTGGCCCTGGGACTGCATTTTTCCATCAGCCCGGCCCTGCCTGGCCTGCAGTGGGGCTCAGTTCTACACCACTTGAAAAAAAAGATTCATTTTTTATCATCAGTTGTACGTTCCTCTTTTGTCCATCAACACCCCCCCCCACACCGCCCTAGGACACGTTGGTCAGGAATAGAAGTTCAGAAACTGCTACCTGAACCTAAGACAGCCAGGCCAAAAATATGGGCCACTCCGACAATCTATCTCAGTTCACCCCAACCAGGCACTGGGAGTGTATGCCGTTCCCGATTCGAGCCAGAGCGCAAAGGGCCCCTTGCCAACCCCCACTAGTGGGAATCCTTCCTGCATCCCAACCTCTGCCAAGCAAACACCTCAGCTCCCTCAGTCATTTTCAGTGATGGGATTTTTAATGGTGGAACTCATGTCATTCACAGTGACCCTTCTGACTGTAAACAAGTTATTCCTTGTTTGTTCCTATATTGAGAAAAGAGCCCCCTCCTACACCTCCTCTCATGCTGGCTCTTTGTGGTACCCCTTATAGCTTTTCCTAAGCCCCGGGAATCACCTCTTTAGTTGGAGAAACGCAGACTGATTCCACTTTTCATTTGTCCCCCTTCAAGCACAGGATGATGACTCTGTACCTGCCCCGCCCCGCCCGATTCCTCCACATTTCTCACGCTGTCATTTCCAGCCCTCTCATTGTCCTGCTTGCCCTCTGGGTGGTTTTTATCATATTTTATATTCTGCTATTTTCCATTTTTCACAAACATTTTCCAAGTGCAAACATACAAATTTGTCCTTTTTTTCTAGATTCCAAGAGACAAACCTGGATCCTATGTTCCTTGGAACGTACGCATATGAATCAAGTACAAGCTTATAGAGAAAATGGAGCGACTCTTCCACCATAGCAATGTATCCAGTCTCTATGCTCTATGCTGCTAGGTCTGAAAGACAAATTTTCACAGTTCAGAAATCATTTCACAGAGTATTGCTTTTATATGATGCTGATTTTAAATGTTCCATTTAGGTTTTCATAGATATGCTTAAGCAATTTAGAAATCATATTTTAAATGGTACCAGTACTAACTGGTTTCCTCTATAATGGTATTCCCCATTACTCCGTTCCTTCAACCCAACCACCTGAATGGAATAGAAGATGATAATTTGTGTATGATTTATGTTTGGCTTACATCCACTAACAGAAATTTACTGTCTAATGAAAGGCAATTTTCTATATTTTTATTAGTAGTACGAACTGTAAAGGATATTCACATTTTACTTTATACACTTTTGTAATTTTTAGTTTTAAAAAAATTTGTATTACTTTTGCAATTTAAATCAAATTAATAAACAAATGCATTTAACGCCTAGAAATGCACCTGAATTCGTGACATCTGCATTGTTTAGTTCCATTTCACTGGGTTTTGTTGTGGGCTGTAAGAAGAAATTTTATTCCAGTGGGTCACCCCAGGGCAGGGATAAAGAAGTGTGCAGTCTGTAAGAACTCGACTGAGACTGAGGTTCCAAATTGGCTTAAGGGAGGAGGAAAGTGTGGGTAGCAGAGGAAAGTAGGGAAATAAGAGAGTTAGGAGCATAGACGGACAGGGTTCGATTGGAGGAATGCACTCAGAGAGAGCAGGCCAAAATCACCCGTGACCCCTGGGCTGCCCTCCATCCACCTGTCCACCCCCCCACAGGAGCACCTCAGCGAGGCTCAGGTAGACACAGCAGCACCCGCTTTCCATACAACTACACAACTTCCAGCCAGTTATTTTAGTATAATATCTATTCTAAGAAGTCAAATGAAGTTGTTTCCTTGGTGAATGGGAGAAAGGTAAGTTTTCCACCTTGTTATTGCTAAATTTATGTAGAGAAAGAAACCATGGTAGAAAGTAGGTGTTAGGTTTAAGTGACCGGTGTGAGCTGGTGATTTGCTCTATGTCTATGAAAAACCTATATCAATATGTATCTGTAGTTTTCTGGAGGTGGGGGAGAGAACACGCAAGAGAGAAGCTACTTGTAAAAGGGATTAGGATTCCTAGATGAAAAGCACCTGATAAGACTGATGTTTTCAGACTATATTTTGTAACTGCACTTGTATTCATTTAAGTGTTAGTCATCGACAACTTATTATTACATTTTTTTTCATCTCTCTCTTACCCCCGTTTCCTTTCTCCCCTCCATCTCCTTAAACCACCATCACCACCACACACAAACACACACAAATCAAGAGTGTAAAATCTTCAGATCGTTTGCAAATAATTATAAAATTTTGACCAGCAAGAATAGAAGAGAAATCATACTGGAAAGTTAGGAATAAATTTCACAGTTAGTTTATATTTTACTACATTGCTCCTTTAAGCAGAGATTCTTAAATCACTTAAGAGAATGGGCAAAATAATTTTCTGGTCCCACTTCTGTTTTGAGTTCTTGAGATTTTGCTAAAATGTAATCCATGAAGGGAATGTGTTGTTTGCTTTTCACAACTCAGTATCAGTGTTTTCAGCACCACTGGCCAAGAAGAAGAGTTAGTCAAGGTTGAAACTGAGTCTGTGCCTCCACATTGGGCTATGCAAAGAAATGGAGGCTCAGCACAGCTATGTATTGTGCCCAAGATCACACAGCTAGCAGGCAATTAGAGGGACCTTGCTTTTCATCTGTCTGCTCATAGAGTTGTGTTCTTTCCTCTATGCCATGTTTCCTCTCCTAAGGAGATGGCAAGTCTTCTAGAATCTTTCACTAACATGGAGTGGCAGTGGATTGTGTCCATATTTTCCTGTGGGTGCTAAAATAATGCTATTTATCTACTGCTGCCAAGGTCTTAACTTTACAAATATGAGTAGCTTTACAAATATGAGTAAAGAACGAAGAACATGTTTTGTAGGTAGCAGTGAGAATCAAAACCCTTTTATTCAACGGTGTGAACTCAAGAATTTTAAGTTTATAGCTATTCAATATTTCACCACCTTTTATTATTTACCCCAAACCAGTGTTGTGTTAGAATGCAAATCCTTGCTGGTTATCCTCCGAAACAAAGCCAAACATTTGTCCTGTCGAAATAAAACCAAAAACAATAGTGTAGCATAATTTTATAATTACAAAGAGTGATGTTTGATCAACTCAGAGAATCAAGATCAACAAATATATCCTAAATGATTCTTAATGTTCAGAAATAATGGGCTACAGAGGAGACCCTTCACTGGGAAAATGCCGACTGTCCTCCAATCCTCCCTCTGCAGCCACACACCTCAGTCTGCCCCCTGTATGTCTCCAAGGCCTCCCGAGTCACCATCCCGCCACTGTAGCCCATTGAAAAGTCCCTAAGATCTGATACGTTTTCACTCCCTCCGCCAAGAAATGGTGCTGTCCATTGAGAATCACTGCTTTGGTGTATAATGAATTAACTTTTTATGTAAAATGTTCATTTAAAATGTATGTACAAGCACTTGTTCTTAAAACCATCTTCTGCTTATTAATACCATGGCTTAGCCAAGTCAGGTGTGTATTCATTTTGGATACTTTAAGGTTTTTTGTTTGTTTGTTTTGAATACATGGAACCTTGTTAAAAGTGAAAAACAGGGCCGGCCGAGTGGCGCGATGGTTAAGAACTCGCTTGGGACGCCAGAGGGCACCGGTTCGGATCCCACATATGAGGGCCAGTGACACTGCCCTCTACAGCTAAGATGCTGAACAACAGCTCAACCTGGAGCTG